GTTAGGGTTTATACACTACGATGATGTAGGTTGAAATGCAAGAGAATCATGGTGATAAATATTAATAAACCTTATGACATTCCTCTGGCGCGTGTATTTTTCATACACCTTCTAGCGTAAATTACCTTCTCTGTTTATAAATCGAGCTTATGACATTCTTCTTGTACATATATACTACTTCTTATATCACCAACGGTAAAAGTTTTCAGAAACCATCCATTCACATATAAAAACGACACTCTTCGTATCGTAAGAAATACATTTCATTTCACTTCTTTTCACTTGAGGGATTTGTCATAAAAACTAAAACATTCACTTGAGCCAACCTTTTTTATTTTGACACCTTTTAATTTAATGAAAATTTTTCGTTTTTCAAAATAAATAATTTCTTGAAATCTATTTTAAAAACAAAATAAAATTTAAATATATAAATTCTAGTATCACTTGTTGAAAGTAACATTTACAAGAAAATCTAGTTTCCTGCGACAATGATTTTTATAAAAGCTTTTAAATTTAAAGCCATATCAGATATTCATTTCCGGTAATGGAATAAGAGGACAGGGAATATTCTCCAATTCCCAGGGACTGGCACTCAAGGAGCCAGAGGATTTCTTGATTCTAAATATAAATCTGTCGTATAGATACCGTGTGAGGTTATATACACACCTATATTCTATGGGGAATGTCGGGTTTTGCTTACAAGTTCGACTTCATCAACCGCGTTATGTCGAGACTATGCGTACACACTATGTCTATAGAATATGTACTTTTCACATACAGATATATACTTGGTTGTATATATATATATATATATATAAACGTGTATAAAATGGGATAGAGATACGATCCTAAAAGAACAAAGCGAGATGAGAGGTGTCTCCCCTCATGAAATGCGCCGCCTAATAAACGTGTTTTCGCCCACGCGTCTAGCAGTTTACTTTATACTCGAGTTGGAAGTGCGTGCCTTTGTAATGTTATGTTACGATGTTATTTGCAATAGAGGCGCGATGCACTGAGGAAGAGAATGTGCGCGTGAGAAAGCAAGAGAGAATCCGCGCGCGGGCCAAGAGAAATGGAGAGAACGTGATGAGTTGATGGAGGAAGAGGAAGGAAGAAAAACGTAGGCTCCATTCATGCTTCTTCAGATTTCATATATATATACATACAATATTATGCAAACCGTAGTAGTGCTGTGCCAATGTATCATTTTAAAGGTAGATTTAATTTTATAACAATTATTATTACTGTTATTGAATTAATTAAATTTGATCAAGGGAAAGAGAACAAATATGAAACATTATAATAGCATTTTTGAATATCAATTTAATATAAAATTCCGGACTGTTTTCGGAATAATATGGAATTATTTCCAAACAGTCCGGATTATTGTCAGGTTTTTGTTATCCGGAATTAGTCCAAATAAATCCAAAATTTGACTGATTTTTGTAAATGCGGTACAAAATAAGGAAACAACTAAGTAAATAACGATTGTATCGTTCCTTTTTTATGAAACTAATCTTTAAAAACAAAACAACGACTGTGTACTTGAAAGAATAATGTGTTGTTTTGGCTTATGCATATCCTTGGTTTTTATTTAAAATAGAATTGTTTATTGAACAAAGACAGATATAGAATTTGAAATTGTAATCCAAATATAATTCGAAGCTAAATTCATGTTTAAATTCTTAAGGAACTGCCCACATAGCACCCCAAATTCCCTGAAACTTGACGCAGAACCTCACATGGCGATGTTAGGAAACTTTAGTGGCAAGGTTCATACAAGTTTGTGTCGATGTTTAAATGTCCACATGAAAAGAATATTCACACGAAACTTTGAGGAAATATTACACTATAAATATTCACGTGCAATGTTCAGTCAATGTTGTGTCAATATTCACCTATACTTATTATATTAGTAAATGAAATTTTTATAACTAGGTGAAAATGTAATTTCAATATGGACACAACATTGACTGAACATTGCACGTGAACATTTATGTGTAATATTTCCTCAAAGTTTCGTGTAAATATTCTTTTCATGTGGACATTTAAACATCGACACAAACTTGTATGAACCTTGCCACTGAAGTTTCCTAACATCGCCATGTGAGGTTCTGCGTCAAGTTTCAGGGAATTTTGGGTGCTGTGTAGGTGGTAATTAAAGGAAAAACAAAATTTGTAAAAGAATCTCTGAAAAGTTAAATTTTTATGTAATAAACACAAGTTAATTAATAGAGTTGTTTGATTCAGCCTATCCTTAATTATCAATAGAAATAGACATTATGAGAAATGATATCCAGGAAACAATCCAATTTTTCTTTTCTTTGTATTTATTTTGGTTGTTATGACCGAAGAAAAGAAATGAATAACAATAATCAGGTCTAATCTGAAGTCAATTCGATCAAATGTAATTAGTGAATGCAGATTCTAGATTTACTGATTAAACAAGACGGATTAATTTCGGATTCAATAGAAGTAATTTTTCATTTATTATTTGTGTGCGATCCGATTAATTTCGGATTAAACCGGATTAATTCCGGATTTACTAGTCACACAAATAATACTAATTTCGGAATTAACCGAACTAATTCCGGTTAATGGAAACCAGACTTTAAAGCGGACTATTTCGAATTAATTCCACATTGCGAAATATTAACCAAAATAGTGACAATTGGTCAGAAGGCTTTTACGCCGATAGTGAACAGTATTGTTGAGTACTGTTTGCGGATAGTTTATTACATAAAAGTTTTAGATTATTCTGGACTCAATTTGGATTGTTTTTTGATCTAACTCAAATAAAATTGTTGCCGGCTAATTGCGGATTTATTACATGTCAATTTCGGACTATTCCAGACTGATCTTAGATTTATCTTTTCATCTAGAATGATTGCTGACTAATACGCATCATTTTCGAATTGTTTTCATAAAATTTTTGGACTAATCCAAACTGATCTCTCTCTCTCTCTCTATTTAATTTGAAATCAGTCTGAAATTTTAACCAAGGATGTTTTAACGAATTTTCGGAAAACTATATTCCATTGATGTTGAAAGAAATATTGATTTTTAAAATTAAATACGGCCCTGGTTAAAAGGTCCAAAGAGATCGCGACATCAAGGCACAATATTGCAATAAGTATATTCGAGTTTCAAGGGCAGCCACTCTCTGCAGATAATCTTTCTTCTTTCTGGTACGTTATTCACACACTTATGTTTTCCATATATGTATACATATATATATGTATATGCACATATATACCTACGCGCCATTACCAGGTGGGCCAATGACTTCAACCTGCGGAAGTGTACGCGTCGCTCACATAACTGGCAATTTTGCTGCGGGTGATAATTGAAACCGGAAAACGATGAATTCAAATGGGACATATGAACATTTTGCAAAATTAAAAGTATATAATCACTGTATTAAAAAAAATTGAGAGAATATTTTTTACAGAATTAATATGAATGGGTATAATGAAAATTCAATTTCTCTGTTAATTACAAATTTTGTCTGTCTTCATAGTAATTTATTTAAAATAATATTAAAAAAAAAACGTGTGAATATTTTTTTGACTAATTAAATTTCACTAAAGACACGTTTGTTTCAAAAAATTAATTATAATGTTAGTCTAATTAATTTACATGATCATTTTGGATTAAATAATAAATAAATTAATAAACCAAACTTATTACCACAATACGCTCCTAAATAAGTTTTCAATGAGTCACTATAGACAAAATTTTCCAGGAGATTTTACAATAAGCTTTCGAGGAGAACAATTGCTTCGGTATACAAATTTTATGTAAAAGATACACATGTATATACAGTAATTGATATAAAAAGTAATTTTTCAATACTAGAGAGATTAATTGAAAACAGATTGAAATTTGTTTATTATGTTTTTGTATCCATAATGGAAAGTCATTTATTTTCAGTTCCACTGAGCTTCTATATGAAACCCGCATTGAGTCAATTAATATTTATATATGTGTAAATGGAAAATGATATCCAATTCTATATACGTTATGTAATAGTTAAATCGAGAGTGAATCATTAACAATATGTGCATTTCATTTTCATTTGGTTAATAATAATTTAATTATATATGTAACTTTTGATACTGTGATGATTTAAATTCACATATAATATTTATACATATACCGCACGTGTTTTATATTACTTTGATCATTCAATCATATTCATCAGAACAAAATTTAAATATGAAATAGTTTCTGATATACAAAATTCACATTTGAAGTTAAAACATCATGAGGAGATCGTGAGTTAGTTTGGGATAAGAGGCCAAGAACACAAATTAATTACAGAATATTATATTGTTTGCCAGACAATTAATTAGTTTTTGAGTGTTCCCGTATCCGTAATTACTGAGCATCGTCCTAGTCTCTGAATATGACATTAAATTGCAATTACTATTTCGTTCCAGATGAAATCTAAATTAGTAAATAATAATTTTCCTTTTTGTTATTATTAAAGTGTTAATAATAGCATAACTAATGTTATTATAATGTTAATTACTAAAGGGGTAAATTTTGTTCGGGTTGATGAAATAGTGAAAAAGGTGAAAAAAGAGCTGAAAAATTTAATATTTCGCATAAAACTTAGAGAATTTAAGGTTGGAAATTAAAGTTTTGAGAAAATTATTAATCGGATAAAGAAAATAAAATTATTGCTAAATTTTTACAATATGAAGGGCCTTATATGAAATCAAAAAAAGCCAGGAACGTATGTTTTATAAGATCCAAAATCTAATACAGGAAAAGGAATCTACTACAGACAAGATTTTAAAAAAATATCTCTTTTAAAAGGGTTCGATAAAGTTAGAAATATTACTTGAAAATAATATTTCTGTTAATTGTCATTTTCAACATCTGTAACTTATTGTTATATATAGAAAAATCAAATGATGTAGACATAAATCTATTAAATTTTTATAAAATCTTTTAATTCTAATTGTATAATTAAATATTCTGTTCTGTGATAGGTTGCAGATTTGAAAATCGTCGATATCAAGAAGGTGCAGCGGTTACAACTTCAGGTCCTTGTTTACAGTGTAAATGTTCAGAGGGATCATTACGATGTAGATTGCGTGTCTGTCCACGACTTCCAAATCCACCACCACCAGGATGTCGTGCCCGACCACCAGGAGAAAATGCCTGCTGTTCAGAATTAGTTTGCGGAGAATCAGGTTAGTACGATACTAGCAATCGATTCGTCTAATTGCTAATTCGTAATACAATATCAAGTCTAACATGCAATAGGCTATATATGTACGCGATGTTCATTCTCCTATATATATATATATATAGAGAGAGAGAGGCAAAAGACAGTAATCGATTATATTATTATCATATATAGATTGATCAGACTTTCAAATGACAAATACGAGCATGCATAAAATATATGCCCACGTGATGCGATGCGAGAGGGATAGAAGATATTCGCTTCGATGGTTTGGTTTTTCGGATGAAGATCCCTCCCCCCATTTATACATACACACAGTATGAATTGAATTCTCCCGCGAGAACTAAAGTTAGGCGTGGAAATTCAAAATTTATTCCAAGCAAACGGTTTGCAGAAGCGGAAAATGATTGGATGTCTATTAGGTGCTGGAATTTTGTCGAATAGAAAATTGCTGAATTATTAAAGCCTCGATATCCTATCCGAGAAACTGATTTACATTGCATCTTGATAAAAGGATTCCAGGGAAATATTTCATCTCATTTATATATACATACATATATATATATATATATTTATGTATATATATATATATATATATATATATATATATATATATATATATATATATATATATATATATAAAGATGAACTTTGATAGCATTCTAGTTCACTTTGCGGAATGTTCGCGTTACTTCATTGCAATCAGAGAAGTTGAAATAACTTGTTCTGTTTAAACGTTTAGTTATATATTCGCTCTCGTGTCGCTGACAGAAATAAATTGAAATAAAATACAGACTTAGCGTAAGTAAATATTTGCCAGAAGCACATTTCAGATTGAGTTTCTTCGAAATCAAATTCCACATTGTTGATATTTTTAATGTAATTTTCAAATATAGAAATTAAATTATATATATATATATATTTGATAAAAATATGTTGAACCTGTGGAGTGTGTTGCAGATGAGGCGGCAAATGTCCTTCGGCGTATTAATCTTGAAACAGAATCCAGAAGTCAAGACGATGGTGAGATTTTATTACTTTCTTTTTAAATTGTAATAACAACAATTCAAAAAAAAAAAAAAAAAAATGACGATCAATTTATAGGTATAAAAGAACTATCGAGCGCAAATAATTTCGCATGAAGTCTTTCGGAATTGGTAGTATGACAAGTAAATAATACAGTTGAGAGAAGAATGATAATTAATATACAATAAAATGACTTACATTTTCAATTTATTTATAATTGATGAATATGGTTAAAAACTCGTTTAAATCAGAACTTTGATATAAATTTGAATGATATCTTGAACTGGAACTTGAATTGGTTTAATTACATGAACTTGAAGATAGAACTTGTAAGAATTTGAATAACAGTCTAAGAACTGGAGAAAGAATTAGAATGACTTTGAATTAAAAGAAAGAACTTGGAATTAAAACTCGAATAAGAACTAGAACTTGAAAAGAATTGAAACTGAAAGCTTACTTTTTCATTAGGGTCTTTATAGTTTTTATATTGCTATCCCTTCTTAAATTTTAAGTCGGGTGCAAATTTTGGGGATGAATATTTTTGAGAGTTTTAGGATTTCATTATTGAATCTAAAAAGAAGAAATAAACAATTATACTAATGAGTAGAAACATGGTTTTGTCAAAACAGATATTATTCTCAAAGAATCGATGAGAAATTTACAAATAAAAATTAAGAAGAAAAAGAAAATAACGAGAAAAATACAATGACATAACGCAGTACCTTACAGTATATAGGACAGCATTCTAAATAGTACAACCCACTTTGGTTTAATTCTCCTGGAGGGAAATGTGAACTATTTTGAAGGATAATTTCACTATTTTTGAGGAATAAATAAATATTCCTGACAACTCATGCTCCATTCTCAATTAATAATTAATTACTTAATAAAGTTGAACATCTTTATTTTGACTCTTAAAGTTTAACCCTCCAGTTTTCTCCGTTTGCGTTTTATTGTTTCGAGTTATATATATATATATATATATATATATATATATATATATATATATATATATATATATATTAATGTTTAAAAATCAAAATCTTCATGCTTGAAAATATTAAAATAGAATATTTTTATAATTGATAATTAGCTGATGGAATAAATTTTACAGAAATTAGTATTTAAATATTTTTATCTTTCTGTATGTAAGTTAATAAAATTTTATACATAGCACAACAATGATTCTATAGAAGAAGAAATTGTACATATTTCAGTAGATAAGTTCTATTTTGGTCAGACATTCTATGTGCGTGTGTTTCCACTTGCTGTTTCATTTACAATTATTAGTACTGTTTCCCTCTTTCCCTCGGAGAAAATAATTATTTTTTTGGATGTTGTTTTAATTAATAAGTTATTATTTATTTATTTACTTACAATTAACTGATTAATCAAACTGGTATAAGACCTGACAATTATATGTAATATCGTCGTCGCTCATCAAAACTTGTTTTTAATTTCCATTACAATAACGAACAAAATTTTGAATTAACAATATGATTAATATATATATAAAGTTACAGATTAAAGTTACTTACGTTTTATTACAATGAAGTTGTGTATAATCAGTGAATTTCAGTTAGGTCGCAATAGTTTATGGTTTCAATTGGAGTTGTTTCAAATGAATGAAACTATGATTATATACAGTTTGTATATTGTTTAAACAAAAACGACTTTGTGCACTCAGAATATTACAATATTGTTGTTTCACTAGTTTCCAAGTGTTAATTCACGTCACTTGCATCTATAACGAAAACTTATTTCTAAGTATGTGAAGTGAAATAATTTGCATCAAATTTAACGTCTTGATATCAAAGTTAGAAAGAATTTTGCTAAAGGTTAACTATATTATTAATATAACTTTGTAACAGTTAATTTAATTTATTTTACGTAAAAGGAAATAAACGTGTTTTTTTTAACTTGCATTTATTTTTGGAAAGAAGCAATTTCGTTTATTTGCCTAATCAAAAGCAAAATTTTACCAGCAAAATCAAAAACAAATAAATTAATATTAAATCAGAAATTAGTAATTCCCTGTTTTCGAAAAGGTAATGAAAGTATATATATATACATATATGTATACCTACAACGCTCTTGTGGTACTTATATTTACCTATGTTGCTGTTTGAAACTGGGTATTATTTGATGTTTGTATAATTCATGAACGTATATTAGATTAGGTTACTAGGAAAGTTCTTGTGCGCATAGGTTGCTTCTACCAAGGAGTACGATATGGACCGGGATCTGCAATGATGGGCTCTCAGATGTGTGAATATTGTTACTGTATATCCGGTACGAGAAGATGCATTAGACCAAAATGTTTACTTCCACTCCCTGGTTGTACACCAGTTTATGCACCTCATTCCTGTTGCCCTGTATCTTACAACTGTACCCGTGAGTAAATTTAACTTTACATAAAAGAATTAAAAATTTACTTTCCTACACACTTTATAGTGTCATGTGCACACCTGCTATAATAAAATTTATCTTACTATTTCAATTTACAAGAAAAATGCTGAATTCTTTGAGAAATATTACTATCTTTAAGAAAAAATTTTATTAACAATATTTATTTTCTAATGATTATAATATGCTTTAACGGATCAGCTGCTTTGACTTAACCCTTAGGCATTCTATTCTATTTAATTATTTTTAGTAGTAAATAGATTATTTAGAACAATTTTTCTGAGATTCGTGAAAAAATCTATCTAAATCCAGATACAGAATTACCATATTACGCTTTATCATATAATTTAAGATTGCTAATTATTTCTAATCTATTCGGATCTTTTTCAGTTTTTTTTTTTGAAATTTTATCAGGTTTCCAATGAATGTAATAATACACCGCATGTGTTTACTGCACTGGAACAATATACCAAACGTGTATACCATGATAGAATTGGATATTTTGAAAATTAAACGGTAGATGTTGACCGCAGATTTTGAATTACGTTGCACGATAATTCGAATTGATGATTCAGTGTATGCGTGTGTTTATATTTAATTATTATTCTAAAAATAACGATTTTTTGTACCGACAGACATTTAATTATTTAAACAAGTAGAGGAAAGTGATACAATAAATACTAATTGATTAATTAGGTTAATTAATCAAACAATTATTGAAACAATCGTTTGGTTTAGAAGAGACAAATTTTCTGAAAAATAAAATTGATGGATCATAATATGTGAAAAGCACAATTTTGAATATTTAAAAAAAAAACCTTTTGGAAAATGTTCAGAATAACATAGACTCTGTCTGTTATGTGCGGAAAATTCAAAATTTTGCGTTTAAAACGTTTTTTAAACAATGTTAAGGTCACAAATCATGGCGCATGACACGCAAACTTCTCAGGTATGTGAAAAACACAATTTTGAATATTTTTTAAAAAAACCTTTTGGAAAATGTTCAGAGAAACATAGACTATGTCTGTTATGTGCGAAAAATTCAAAATTTTGCGTATAAAACGTTTTTTAAACAATGCCTACATATAAGCAATTCGTGTATTTTTCCTTACTTGTGACAACCAACTTAAACATTGTTTAAAAAACGTTTTATACGCAAAATTTTGAATTTTTCGCACATAACAGACATAGTCTATGTTTCTCTGAACATTTTCCAAAAGGTTTTTTTAAAAAATATTCAAAATTGTGTTTTCACATACCTGAGAAGTTTGCGTGTCATGCGCCATGATTTGTGACGTCACGAAGGTTCAAATGCTCTTAAAGAATCAGCTACTTTGACTTTTCATTACAATGGAAATAACTGAGCAATCGTTTTGAATTATATCGATTCGTAATCGATTCGTATCATGGTATATATTGATAATAATAATCGCTACTCATACGGAAAGATTTCCCGGAAGGGCTATCTGGAGATTTTATCGGATATCCGCCATAATAATTTTTATCAAAACTCTGATTTTAGCGATAACACTACGTAATTTTGACGGAAATAAATATTTTCGCATTTTGATGGGATTTTCAGACCCTTTCGTTTTTGTCAGACAAATCCTTCCGATGGAAATTATTATCAAAATTCCGATGAAATCGCCAGGGAACATTTTTATTTTGTAGAATAATTTCTGTTATAATTTCCGTTGGATTTCTGCCGTAATGGGAAATGGTATTCTAGCAGAGTTGTGTAGAATTTCTTTTCGTTTTCGGCGAAAATTTCGTTAATAGAAAAGGAAACGGAATTCCATTGGAAATTATCATAAAAGTATTCAAGGGGAGTTTTTCCCTATTTCATTCCCTTCTCCGTTAAAAACTGAAACGATATTCTATCGGAATGTATCCAATTTAAAAGTTTTTCCAGAAAACCTTTCTGTAGATTCCGTTGAAATTCAGATAACAATTTCTGGCTGAATTCTAATCGTATACTGAAGTAATTTCCAGGAAGCTCTTCCTGGGAATCTTTCTAGGTGGGAAAAAGATAATTATAGTTATTTTGGAAAAATATTGATAGCACTATTAGTAACAATTGTTATGAATCACTTGTAAATATCTCTCTCTAAACTTGAATCAGTGAAAGTCACCTCAGTCGCTAAATTCCAGCTATTTAAATCAGTGAAAATTACTAATTCAAATAAATTGAATTTAGCAACCGAATTGAATCAATTACATTTTCACTGATTTAAATTCAGAGAGTTAGAAATTTGGTTGTTGGAAAAATAATTTATTTCTTAAAAATTAGTACAGTAATTAAAATCAACATTTAACATTATAATTATATTTATTAATAATTGTTAATATAACCCTAGAATTTATGTTACAGTAATAAAATATTAAAAGAATTTTTTTTTGATTTTTAATTCAACAGGTGCAGAATCTTCGACGACCATGGCCTCGTTGTCAGGAAATGGTTAGTATATATGTTGGCAATTAATGAATGTGGACTTACACGCGATTTGCAGATCACGATCTCGATGACCTTCCTTCACGCCCAGTGAACATGTAGAAGGGTCGCGTTCGATCGGTAATCGTGAAATCCGTTAACAAAAAAAGAAAAGAGAAAAAAAAACCCAGTGCTTTGTGGATACGAGAGTCGAGTAAAATTTTTAATTCTTTCTCTTCTTCTTTCTCTCTCCTAGGTTGTCGAGTTGGTAAACGGTTTTACAAAGAGGGTGAAATGGTCCGGGACATTGCATTAAAGTCCACCTGTGACAATTGCTTCTGTGCCATGGGCGTCGTAAGTTGCGTTCCACTTGCCTGCGCTCCACCTCTTCAGGGTTGCAGTCCAATTGTTCGAGAAGGACAATGCTGCCCTTCCACTTACAATTGCAGTGAGTAATTCCCATCAATATTATTTAGTTTTGTGTTTTAATATTGTAAAAATTAAACGACTTACGTAATGAGGCTTACGACTTACACAACAAATGGATATCTCAACGAGATTTGAAATATCCCAGGGATATCCAAATTTCCGTTCCGTGGGTTACCCGCGCGGGATATGCTAAACAATGAAAATTTAATTATTGCAACAAATATAGGTAAATGCTTTTTTCATTAAAAATCTAAAATTTCCATAAAAAACCACATATTTATTTTGAAATTATTTTCTTAAATAAAATTTTTAATTATTAATATACTGCACGAATTAGATGAAACAAACATTTCCCAAAGCATAACCTGAAATTATCTCTCCTTTAGAAAAATTTTCGTCCAAGTTGAGTATATGTAAAATTACTTTATAAAAACAAAACACCACACAAAAGAATTACTGGGAGTCGATTATGTAATTTGATTTGACGTCAAAGTCAAGTTTATTTTTTGATTGCAATACGTCAAATTGCTATCAAAAAGTAAATTTGAATGCGACGTTAAATTGAAATAAAAAATTAAATTTTAATTTAACGTCTAAGTTAAATAAAACAATGAATTTTTTGAATTAAATTTGACATTGACGTTAAAGTAAATTTGATTTTGACGTCGAATCAAATTACATAATCAACACCCTGATTTTATTTGTTATATTTGATAACGGAATTAATATTATACTTAAAGTTGCTGACAAAGTAATAGACGCACAATACTACTGGAGTGAGATTACAAATAGCGACAGAGCTACGAAGATTTTGCTACGTAGCGATTCAAAGCAACATTCACTTTAAAAAATTTTTTAGCTATCGGGTGACTCAAAAAATGGTATCATTTTGATAGATTTAAGTTGGTACAATTGTTTTTCTGTGTATTTTTTTCTCATATTTGCTTTATTTTATAATTTAACAATTCTTTTTAGAATCAAGAATGTATCAAATTCCCTGGCGGATCTCGAAATCGGAATGTACGCTGAATTCGTTGTACATTCGTTACACATTGGTTATAGTTGGAGTGAAAATTGTGTAGAAACTGAGTGACAGGCTAGGGAATTTTCTAGTGACATCCAACTTGATAGTCGATAAAGAAGTTGAGCCGCCGACTTTGCACGGTAGGTGGCAGCATTCATACTTTCGCCTTTTTAAAAATTCTCTTTTTCGATTGTAAATAGAAAAATTAATTAATTAATAAGTTAAATAGTTTCTATGTTGTCATTTTTTTTTAACAATTGAATTTTTGAAGATTGTTTAATGAGATAAATTAAACTTGTATAATCGATGCAAATTGTTGTTTTTTAATTAAATTCAGTTAAATTAATTTAATCATAATTTTAATAAAGAAAAGTTTTTTTATCTTTCTTTATTTTATTATTATTTATTTTTAATATAAATGTAATTAAAAGAAAAGATTTATTTAAAAGTATTTTAAAAACAACAAATTGCATCGATTATACAAGTTTAATTTATCTCATTAAACAATCTTCAAAAATTCAATTGTTAAAAAAAATGACAACATAGAAACTATATAACTTATTAAGAGTGTCGAACGGTCTCTGAAATTCTTTGGCATTTAATAATCGCCCTATAAAAACGGCACTGAACGTGAAAATGATAAACATTGAGTTTAAAATACTTTTTTCTCAAAACGCGGACACTTTTTTCAAAATCGGAAAAAATACCAAGGATCCTTATCTTATAAATTTCTTAAATCCGAAAGATTGTGCAAATCTATACAAAAATGCGATTGTAAAACGAAAAGTACGAAAGTAATATAATGACAGCTGCGACATTGTGCTCCCTGCATGCTTCTGCCACCTAACGGCTGCAGGACGTAATAAACCTAAAATTGGGTGCAGTTCCGAATAGCACATACCTCTGATTTCGATAAAACTTGGTATCCCTACGTAATTTGGTGCGCTGATTACGAAAATCATAGTGAAAATGGGCGGAAATTTAATTATCATGGTAAAAACCATAAAAAACACCATGAAATCATGGTTTTTTTCGATTATCTCGTAAAAAACAAAAAACTTCGAAAAAAGTTTTAGACGAAAGTTGTAGATCTCTAAAAAACACACATTTCATGTTTTATGGGGGCGATTATAGGGCGATTATTAAATGCCAAAGAATTTCAGAGACCGTTCGACACTCTTAATTAATTAATTTTTCTATTTACAATTGAAAAAGAGAATTTTTAAAAAGGAGAAAGTATGAATGCTGCCACCTACCGTGCAAAGTCGGCGGCTCAACTATCAAGTTGGATGTCACTAGAAAATTCCCTAGCCTGTCAAACTCACTTACGCGAACATTTTACACTTTAAACTTTATTTATTTAATAATAACACGTTAATTTATCACAAATACAGCACAAATCTATCACTAAATACTTTTATTATTCAATTCAATTACACTTTTCCACAGTTTCCACTCAGTTTCTACACAATTTTCACTCCAACTAAATGTTTAACCAATGTGTAACGAATGTACAACGAATTTAGCGTACATTCCGATTTCGAGATCCGCCAGGGTTCATAAGGATTTCCCACGATGAAGAAATGAAGCAATTAAAAGAAATATCTAAAAGCCTGACAAATTTTTCAAGTGTAACACTTCAAATCTGAAAAGTTATAAAAAAGGCAATTCTAGGCAACGATAATTATTAATATTATATTTACACTTTTATTTCTAAATTTAAACCTTAAATTTTTTTACAATTAATAAATAAACTAAATGAAACATAATAATAATAAAGAAAAAAAGGAGACATTTATTTCCAATTTCTATCTTAACAAAAAATCAAGAAGCTAATTCAACTTTATCCAACAATAATAAACTATTTACTTTTCTTTTTTATATTAATAATTAAATATTTATTGCATTTATATTTATTATCTTTTTCATAGGATTAAAAGTTTCTATTAGACATTGTCTAAAATGTGAAAAAAATTTAATTTAAAAAATTTTGGAGATATAACCTCAAAAATAGAATTGTTGTTTTCACGCAAGGGTTAACTAAAAAAAATGTATACGGCATTTTTTGTGAGTTAAAGAGTTTTTCAAGAAATGAAAATTTAAATCAATTTAATTAAAAAATTATTAATTAATTTAATTAAAAAAATTTATCAATTTTTAAATGTAGACTGGTAAATAATATCCTAATTTTAAATCTCATGCAATTATTATTTTTAATTCTTGCAATAAGATTAATTTTCTTAATTTTTATTTATTGAATTAAATTAAAAAAATTTATTTCCTTTATAAATTATTTTAACATTAAACTAGATGATTTATATTTGAAGTTGTTATTTATTAAATTAATAGGTTATTTACAATATTAAAGTATAATTTATTTCGTCACTAGTTAATTATTTTATTTGAAACTAACAGTTGGTAAACAAGAAGTTAGAGAATTGATTCCACCTTCATGTTGTATTTGTTTGCTACGTAGATAAAATATTTTAGGAAATTGACATGAATTCTATGTCAATGTCCTTATTTAGAGGGGTTATGTTTATAGTTTCTTCTAAATTACCATCTTGCAGTTTAAGGTTTGAAGAAATTGTCAACGGTATTTTATTTCGGCCATGATTTGGAACAAATTTCACTAAAAATATGTAAGTTTTTAATTCTAAATAACGAAAAGCGCTACATAGCGAATAGCGCTATTAGTAATTCCCTGGCGGATTGGGAAAACCAAGTTGTAACCGAATTGGGTTCCGATTCGGTTACGTTTCGGTTGATTGTGAAATATTATCGTTAATCGACAAAATATGTAGTAAATAACTATTAGAAATAGTTAATATACATTTAGAGTACTTATTTATGCAATAATAATAATAAATTAAGATATAATTAATTAATAATAAGTGTTTTAACCCACTAAATTTTTCTCTAGCTGGTGACCTCTTACATAAACAATTTTATTTTTAATATTTTTAATTCTGGATTTGCTTCCACTAACTTGGGAATATAATTTAAATATTTCTTTTCTAACAGGAGTAATAGATAGAATTTTTCATATCGTGCTACTAATGAAGTTATGAATTTTAGAAACATATTTTTATAATTTTATTATAGAATATTAATTGACTGTTTATTTTTTAATTAAATTTAATGTTATGCTTTCGCCAAAAAAATTTAAATTTTGAAGTTACTGGTTTATTATAGAATATGTTAAAACTTTTCCGAGTTATGTTTCCAATCCTACAATGTTGGGTATATTTTTTTTTCTATATGATATTGTAAATCTGATGCCATTTAGAGTTCATAAAATTTTTTTAAACAATGCTAAAACAATTAGTGATTGTTATCTGTTATTATATCGGTTTTTTTCCCTCGAAGTTTATATTTTTCGCAATATTCTTTACGTTGAGAGATTTTTTTGGTTTTCAAGAATTAAATTTTTTTTATACCAAAGTTTAATATGCTGCCGCTTTGAAGAGAAAAAACGGGATTATGTTACAAAAATTCATATACGAATTTCGGGAACGTTGCATATGGTGGATTTCACGTCAAAAATCCACCGAAAAAAAAAATTTTGTCCAATTATTCCCAAAATTTTTTTATAACATGTCCTATAGGCTAGTAATTTGTCAGACAAATATTTTTGAATTTTATGAAAAATTGTACAAGGGAGAGGGGGTAAAAGTTCTGGACTTTTGCGTGACACGCTTCACTTTGATTATTTATCATACTGCAAAGGAAAAATTTAAAAAAAAAATGGGACATGGTTTTTATAGATTTTTTCATAAACTTTCGAATTCCGCAGTCTATTTTCAAAAATTTTGTTATTTTGACACAAATTTTGAAAAAATAAAAATATATTTTCACTTTTCTCATCTTTGGGTCATTTTTTTTGTTTCTCATTTTTAAAAGAAAGCTGAGATTTTTTCCGATGACATACTCAATTTTCAAAAAACCGTTTTTTTTTGTTTTCGATAAATTAATTTTTGAATGTTGCGCATCACGTCGTTGCGCCGCGCAGCCATTCGCGGTTTGCTGATACGTGTGTGAATATTTAATTTATAAAACGAGAAAATAAAAATCTTAGCAAAAATGAATTTCTATAATAATTTTTTAATACACTACTCGACTTGGATATCCCTGTGTAAACATTGAAAGAGAAATGTCTTATTTATGTGTCGGCCATCTGGCGGCAACATTATGAAGAACGAAGTGCTTCTCACCCGCAGAAAATATATCACGTAACACGACACGGCGCGGCGTGACGTGCAACATTCAAAAATTAATTTATTGAAAACAAAAAAAACGGTTTTTTGAAAATTGAGTATGTCATCGGAAAAAATTTCAGCTTTCTTTTAAAAATGAGAAACAAAAAAAAAATAATCCAAAGATGAGAAAAGTGAAAATATATTTTTATTTTTTCAAAACTTGTGTCAAAATAACAAAATTTTTGAAAATAGATTGCGGAATTCGAAAGCTTATGAAAAAATATATAAAAACCATGTCACATTTTTTTTTTAAGTTTTTCCTTTGCAGTATGATAAATAATCAAAGTGAAGCGTGTCACGCAAAAGTCCAAAACTTTTACCCCCTCTCCCTTGTACAATTTTTCATAAAATTCAAAAATATTTGTCTGACAAATTACGAGCCTATAGGACATGTTATAAAAAAATTTTGGGAATAATTGGACAAAATTTTTTTTTTGGTGGATTTTTGACGTGAAATCCACCATATCAATTTTAGATGATTTTATAAAAAATAACGATCAGAATCAGCTAATCTAAATGGGTCATTCCATACGAAAAGGCAAATGGCTGCGTCCACTCGCAGTTTGAACCAATCGCAATGTTATAGTAGTCAAATTTTAGCATTTTTTATATAGAATCGAAAGCCGAGTGGCCTTTTTTTATTTTCAAAATGGCGGCCACCCCAGTGGCATATGTAAAAAAATTACACGATGGTTTTTTTTTAATCCTTCAATACTTTTAAGATTTTAGTTTAAAACTGCTCAAAACATATTATATTTATGTTCTAGAGCTCGCCAAAGATAAATCCATAGTCAGAATTAAAAAATTCAATATGGCGGATTCAAAATGGCGGATCATTTTTTTAAAATCATCGAAATCGCTTGAAACTCGTTACTCGGGGGTTTTCGGGGTCGCTGATGACGAATCTGTAGTCAGAATTCCAATATTCAAACTATTCGATCCAATATGGCGGATCCAAGATGGCGGAGTTTTTTTAAAATCATCGAAATCGCTTGAAACTCGTTACTCAGGGGTTTTCGGGGTCGCTGATGACGAATCTGTAGTCAGAATTCCAATATTCAAACTATTCGATCCAATATGGCGGGTCCAAGATGGCGGAGTTTTTTTTAAATCATTGAAATCGCTTGAAACTCGTTACTCGAGGGTTTTCGGGGTCGCTGATGACGAATCTGTAGTCAGATATAAAAAAAACCCTTGTAACAAGTTTTGAGCGATTTCATGATTTTTCAGAAAATTTTTCGTATCCGCCATATTGTGTTTTATATTTTTTTGAATCCACCATTTTGAATTTTGAAAATCTGACAGCAGATTTGAAATCAGCAACCCCAAAAACCCCCGAGTCACAAGTTTCAAGCGATTTCAATGATTTAAAAAAAACTCCGCCATCTTGGACCCGCCATATTGGATCGAATAGTTTGAATATTGGAATTCTGACTACAGATTCGTCATCAGCGACCCCGAAAACCCCCGAGTAACAAGTTTCAAGCGATTTCGATGATTTTAAAAAAACTCCGCCATCTTGGATCCGCCATATTGGATCGAATAGTTTAAATATTGGAATTCTGACTACAGATTCGTCATCAGCGACCCCGAAAACCCCCGAGTAACAAGTTTCAAGCGATTTCGATGATTTTAAAAAAATGATCCGCCATTTTGAATCCGCCATTTTGAATTTTTTAATTCTGACTATGGATTTATCTTTGGCGAGCTCTAGAACATAAATATAATATGTTTTGAGCAATTTTAAACTAAAATCTTAAAAGTATTGAAGGATTAAAAAAAAACCATCGCGTAATTTTTTTGCATATGCCATTGGGGTGGCCGCCATTTGGAAAATAAAAAAAAGGCCACTCGACTTTCGATTCTATATAAAAAATGCTAAAATTTGACTACTATAACATTGCGATTGGTTCAAACTGCGAGTGGACGCAGCCATTTGCCTTTTCGTATGGAATGACCCAAATATATATACACACAAGTTAATGGAGAGGTTTTTTTTTAAATTTAACAAACTGTATGAAAAATATTTTAATTTGAATGGAGAAAAACATGAATTTATGAAACATAACGTTTATGGAATATGGAAAGCTTCCCACATAACTTTAATTGATTAATATGCAAAATTTGTTCTTTGATCGACTAAAAACCCTTTTTGGTTAGTTTCCATTCGCGTAAGCTCCCCAGCTCTCTTTTGATGTGTCAATATAAATCTCAATATCAAACTTTGTTGGAGTATTCATGTTTTGATATGATGATGTTAAGTTATTTAACCGCACTACTGTAATTCATATCCAACTATATTTTACAGAATGACAGTAGCTCTTAATTTTCCGATTAAATTGGCAAAATTTTGTACTAAACAGTAATTTTTGTTTTAGTTAATTTTAGTTTTTCTTGCCATCGAAAAATCTTTTAGTCATATCTAATTAATATACAATAAAATCACTTGCTTTTTCAATTTATTTATAAAATTAATGAATATCGTTGAAAACTCGTTTAAATCAGAACCTTGGAACTTTGATATAAATTTGAATGATATCTTGAATTTGAATTGGAACTTGAAAGAATTTGAATATCTTGAAAAGAATTTGAATAAATAACTAAGAACTGGAGAAAGGAGTAGAATTTGAATGACTTTGAATTAGAAGAATATGAACTTGGAATTAGAAGTTGAATTGAACTGACTTTTTCATTAGTGTCTTAATTTTTATATTGCTATCCCTTCTTAAATTTTAAGTAGAGTGCAAATTTTGGGGATGAATATTTTGAGAGTGAAAGAGAAAGGATATAAGAAAATATAAGTGATTGGATCTATTGAAAGGAAAATAGAAAAAACTTATAAAGTGAAAGATGTCATTGGGTCCTTAGGCCAGCCCTTGCTTGAGAAATGGGAATTCTAAATTCAAGCTATTTTTAATAGATGAATCCAAGATTCACTTTTTAAACAAATTTTCAAAATTTGCATAATTTCTTAAAAAAATTAAAAAACAAATTTGTACATCTGTAGTGGGATTACGCTAGCGCTAGTCGCTATGTAGCGCTTTTCGCTATTTAGGGTTAAAAATTTACATATTTTCAGTGAAATTTTTTTAAAATGATGTCCAAAAAAAATAGCGTTGACAGTTTCTTCAAAACTTAAACTGCAAGATCGTAATTCCAAAGAGAATATAAACATAACCCCACTGGATAAGACCTTTGACATAGAATTCATTTCAATTTCCTAAAAGATTTTATCTACGTAGCAAATCAATATTACACGAAGGTGGAAACAATTCTCTAACTTCATGTTTGCCAACTGTTACTTTACAATAAAATAATTTACAAAAAGTTATTTGATTAAACATTTTGATTATTCGAATAAATTTAACCTGAATCCATAATGTTTAACTTCATACTTTCCTCTTCAAAGAGTACTCATAATGTTATTTCTATCTTTGAATTTTACCAGCGAAACAGTTGTCCTAACCTAAATCTGTGAAGGTGATACAATTTTTTTGAGTCACCCAGCAACTAAAAATTTTTTTTAACTGAATGTAGCTAAAAATCGCTACGTACCGAAATCTTCGTAGCGCTGTTAGTTGTTATTCGTAATCCCACTCCTGGAGGATGCACTCATAGATTTTTGTGTCAATTTTACGGTTGAATTTTTCTACATTTATTGCTTGCAAATGTTTTCGGTTTCTATAAATTTTATAAATTTCAAAGTCCAACCTGCAAGTGTTGACCATTTAAGGTTTAGGATTTCATTATTAGTTCTAAAAGAAAGAAATAAACAATTTATACTGAAGAAAAGAAACATGATTTTGGTAAAACAAATGTTTTTTCCTTGTAGAATCGATAAGAAATATACAAATAAAATTTAAGAAGAAAAAGAAAAGTACGAGAAAAATATAATGAAATAACGCATAGGACATTAAAATTTCTTTCAGGTGGTAGCATTGAGGTGAAGGCAGCACAAAATTATGCATCCTATGCTTTTATTAGCAAAGATTATGCAAAATTTAGAAAGGAAACAAATTTTTTTGTAAGTAAAAATTTTATTTTACTTTTATGAGAGATTTATTTTTCATTTTGTAAAGTGAATTTTTCCCCTTTTTGTGATCTTAAGGCACCATACGAGTTTCAATCTTTATCAAATCACACGGTCGAGGGTCGTGGTCATCGAGTGGTCATTGAGGGAATAGACTCAAGCACTTTCAGCCCGGTCACTGAAGAGTCTACAGTCGCTGAATCCACTTTTGCCTCCTCCACCTTAGAAACCGAGACGATGGACAATAAGATACTGACCGAAACGACAGAATATCCAAAGACCACTACTTTGGAGAGCAATCTTCTTACCTCTACCACACTTGAGGTCAAATACTTTAAGATAACTGTAAAATTCAACCACTCGTATTTTTAGTTGTTGTTTTTTTTGTAAATAAAATATTTATTTGGAAATTTATTATCAATTAAAAATTAAATTTTGTTTTCAAATTCAATTCTATAATTTAAGTAGAGGAATTCTTTTTTTCAAATATGTCCCTTTATTTCTGAATTTTAATTTAGGAAAGTACTGATGCGGAGTCGACAGTTTCTGATTGGGGAACGACAATCAAAGACTTGGGCATGGAGGATTCAACGTTGACGAGCTCTTTAATGTCTCTAGTGGATTCAACCACTATCGATGATTCCTTCTCTGAAGTCACGACCACAAGAGCAACCACAATCGAAGAAGATTATACATCGACGTTACCCTCAGCAACAGACATAACAGAATCAACTTTGATCTCTCTAGAGGGAGGATTTCGCGAGTCGTCCTGTCAAGAGGGCGAATCAGAGAAATGCCATTTTACAGAGCCTTTTACAAATGATACCGAAACAACTGTTTTCTCTTTAACAACGAAAAAGCAGAATAAAGACAAAGAGGAAGATGTAGGTCAACCTACCTCGACAATAACCACCCAACAGGTAAAAACATTGAAAAGAGGGATAAAAATTGAGTCACCTAATACACAATTTAAAAAAATTTATTTCAATTCTTCAAAGGGATTTCTATGAATTTATTTGGATAAATTTTTATCTGTAGAAAAAAAATATTTCAGTAAATAATAATTATATAACTTTTTACATTAGATACGACTGTCTCCTAATGATTTTTTTTTTTTGAGTAATTCGCGAAAATGTTTTCAGGATTCATTGATAACAACAGGTTTACCTAGTGTTCTTATGCCAAATGACATTTTAGTGATGAATGTTACTGTAAAAACAAATGTTTCGGTTGGACATATTCAAGGGGTGACGATTAATCCTACGAGGACGATTGCACCGGAAATCGAAGCCATTCTGAATATCATTCATCGACAAAAGGGTGATGATTATGAATACGATTACAGCGAGCCAACACTACCTCCGTCACTACCAAATGTTCGGTAAATATTGAAATTTCATCAAATTTGTCTTGTTTTTGTACACTATTTTTAGTTTTAAATTTTGAACTGATATTTTGAAACTGAGTAGATCCTAAAGTATATACGAATATTAATAAAATAGTTCTAAAAAATTTTTAAACGAATTTTCAATTTAAAATTTGAATATCAAATGGTTCACAAAAAAAATGTATGTTTAGGTAGGGAGTCAAAAGTTCCAAAAAGTTTTTTTTTCTCAAAGTATCAATAGTTCCAAAATTTGTTCAAAAAAAAAAATAAATAAATAAACAAATAACGTATCGAAGACAGAATTTGCAATATAGTCTCAACCTATCCAGAATGCATTTAAAACGATGAAATTATTAATTACTTAAAATCAATTGGTCAAATTTTACATTTTTAAACATTTTGACAATTCAGTTTTTCTAAATTCAAAATGGCCCCAAAAATCCTCTAATAACAAGTTTCAAGCAAATCCGATCAATTTTTTATTTTGTCGTCCGCCATTTTGAATTTTGAAAAATGAATGTCAGATTCATAATCAGCGACCCCGAAAACCCCCGGGTAACAAGTTTCAAGGGAATCAGATGCATTTTGAAAATTTTTTCGCCATATTAGATCCGTCATTTTGAATTTTAAAAAACTTGTGTCAGATTCGTAATCAGCGACCCCGAAAACCCCTGAGTAAAAAGCTTCAAGTGAATCCAACCAATTTTTAATTATGTCGTCCGCCATATTGGAACCGCCATTTTGAATTTCGAAAAACTGATGTTAGATTCGTTATCAGCGACCCTGAAAACCCCCGAGTAAAAAGCTTCAAAAGAATCCAACCAATTTTTAATTTTGTCGTCCGCCATATTGGATCCGCCGTTTTGAATTTCAAAAAAACTCACCCTAAAAAGTTTCACAATTTTTTCAATTAAAATTTTAAAGTTATTAAGTGGGGAAATAAAAACGCCTTGTTTCTGGGGAATCACTCATATACATATATATATATATATATATATATATATATATATATATATATATATATATATATATATATATATTTCTTGTTTTTTAATTTCATAGCATTTAATAAATATTTATTTATTTATATATTTTTTCTACAAACATATTTCTTGTGTGTGTGTACATATTAAACCATTTTGGGGACGTATGGATTTCAGGATTATTCCATTCGTAGCGGCAGACGCTTTAGTGAAGGACAAAAACGAAGCAGCATCACTTGTCACCGGATATCCTTCTGTTGCTATGGGAGTACCACCCGAATTGATACCAAAGGACTCGACATTCTACGACGTAGTCACCCAGGAGAATCGTTTTAGTCCACCAGTTGAAACCGAAGGTATTATATCCTGTTTCGAAGATACAGAACAAATTAATTATTTCGTTTAACAAGAAATCGACGTGCTTCAGGTGGATTTGTGCCGAGGGAACCTCCTTACTACGATCAGTCTTATCACTCAATTGATCTAAATCTGGAAATTGGTACTGGAGTTACAGTTATACCCGAAGCTATTGGAAATCCTCTTAAGAAGAACGATTGTAAGCTCGTAAATTCTTAATTAAATTTATATATGCATGAGTCGAGTCATATAATTAAATGATCATTTAGAATTAAGTTCTTCATTTAACATTGAATTAGAATAATTATTTTATTATCATTTAATTACATTATCTGATGAAAATAAATTATTACATTTCTATTTCTAATGATGATTATTTAATTTTAAGTACAAGATCTTGGAAGTATTTGCATTTTTGAGGGTCATGAATATCATCATGCTGCTACATTACCAAGTCCTGGATTCTGTGTCGTCTGCATTTGTTATTATGGAGAGGTAATCTGTTCTGATGAAAAATGTCCTCCCTTAAAGATTGGATGTCAGAAAATAATTGATGAGAAAAATTGTTGTGGAAAAATTGTCTGTGGTAAGAAGCTTATTTTAAATTTTCAATCAAGTTTTCCTTTTAAATTCAAATATTTAGTTTAAATTAACGGAATATTTTTATGTTCAGTTGATGCTAAAGAATCACCTACGGTTGTTTTGGATCGATCAGATTCATCATCACAAATACAACCTTTGGTTTCATTGGATCCATTTAGGGATGTTATTAAAACAGAACCAGCGCCAGATTTGCCTTCACTAATTGAGGATATGATTCCCTATTTAGCAGGTCAGGGAATTAATACTTCAAACGTTACAAATTCATTGAATTCCTCTTCTTTTGAGGCGGTTCAAAGTTCTAAATTATACAGCTTTCAAGAACGTAATCAGTCACATGAAATTGATCAACATTTTCCGGAAAGTGCAAGTGAATTTTATAGGCTCAACGATACAATACTTTCCAGTTTACAAGATTATGATTATAATAATAGAACTAGTGAAGTACCCCTGCAAAGTAATTTTGTAATTAGAAATAATCAAAGTGAAAAAAACTCAAGTAATTTAATGGAAAATGAAAATTCACTATCAAATAATGAGACTTCTAATAAAACAGAAGGTTTTTTTCAATCAGTGGAAAATGATTCGATTTTCTCTCTGGACAGTGTTTTGGATTTATTCTTCTCAGACAGCACCACAGAAATTACAAAAATTAAAGATATTCAACAAACTGAAATAAAAAATTCTGAGGTGCAAAATTCAAACGTAAAGTCAGAATTTAATAAAGAAATTAAATCTGACAATGGATCAGAATCTAAAAAAGATGCAGAAGTTACGGCGGTAAAGAAAGAAACTGAATCATTGAAAACAGATATTAAGGAACAATCAAAAATTGGGGAAAAAATTATAATTAAAGAAGAAGTATCAATTAAAAATCAATCAACTAAGGAGAAAAATATAGATAATTTGAAAAGCAATACAAAACTTAATTATTCATCAGAACATCCTTCTTTAAATATAATTAATAAAACAAATTCGCCAACAACTCCAATTAGTATTCAAGAAATTACAAATTTAAATATAAATCTCAATTCTGAGATTAAGGCAAAAAACTCCGATAAAGATATTACTGGTTTAAATATATTAAAATTGGCTGGATGTAATATTTATGGAAGAATGTATCGTGTGGGGAGAATTATTACTGAACTCACTTCATCATGTCGTGAATGCAAATGTACTGAAGTAGGTGTACAATGTAAACAACTCAAATGCTAATTGTTTATTATTTTAATTATTGTTCAAATGCGAATTTTTGTTCGTTTCCAAAACGAAAATATTCCTTCAATCACGTGATTTAGGATTAATTTAATATAGTCATTAATTTCATTATTTTTTTTTTTTGCATTGAAATTAAAAAGCAATTTAATTGAATAAAAGTAGTTAATATTCAAGATTTAGAGCATAAGAAGTAGTTAAAAAGAAACAACGATCTCAATAGGATCATATATGAGTACTCATAAGATATTTAGTTAATACGTACGCCCTACAGTGTGGCGCATGTAGCGAAAACGGCTCTTTTAAATAGGGCTCAAGCTAATTGTTGATTTAAAAATCTAAACTAGCGCTACTAGCGATTGACTACACTGAGAGAAGAGAAGCACAGAATCCGTACTGTGACGAACGCCGGCCGTGTAAAATGGGTGTCAGTATCCGTTCTTTAGTTTTGTTCAATTGGTGTCGTTCATAGTTCAGATACTAAGCTCTAGCAGCGCGGCAGCGGTGTGAACTAAGTTATACGGAATCTGTCTCATAGCGACCGACAGATACTGTACTTCTGAACAGTTCCATATCTGTGTACAGTATCTATTCTCAAGCCAAGCACAACATCCATTTAACATTTTAGTACGGCATCTATCACACAGTGACGCTGCTGCTGCGCTCAACTTGGTGTACAGATGCTGAACTTCTCCATTTCAAATTCCGTGCTTTTCTTCTCTCAGTGTATGAATTAATATTGCTGTCATATTTCTAATGTTACTCTATGTGCTTTGTCAGTTTATTCTTAGTTTATTTTGATTGTTTTTAGTGAGTGTACTTTGGCTTACTTGAACAAATCAAAATTCAAGGTCCCAAAAATAGGTTATTAGTAAAAAAATATTTATTGAGCATGCAGTTTCGATGATATTATAATAATTACAGGTACTAACCTGTAATTGACATAAACGAGTTTTATAAAATATTATACTTTTGTGCTGTCAGTGCAATACTGTATATGTGATATTAAATATCAAGACTCGGTATAGAAAATTATTTTTACCGACATAATCAAATTGCATTGTCAGCATAAAAGCAGTATTTCATAAAAATCATTGTTTTTGACAATTACAGATCATTTTACACTTTCTTTTTTTAATATTTATCTATTATTATCCCACGGAGGAATAGTAAGGAGACCGATCTTGCTGTAGTAGCGCTTCTGAAAATGTCAGAAAAACATGTACGATAAATGCCAGTTTCACTGCATTTTACTCAACCACCAAAGTAGCTGAGCATGCGTATTAGCCATATGCTGTCTCTTTCTCTCGCAAAAAGTGTGCGAGTGAGATCTGGCTGACGTATATTTCTCAAGTCTTTCATGCGTGTTGTGATGAAGGGGTTATGTGTTATTGTTATGTTATTATTTTAATAATTATTATTAATGTTTATTTTAAAATGTCGTGCTGTGTGCCAGGATGTAAGAAAAATCTTTTTATGACATACATAATAAATAATATGTTTGTAATTACTATGGCTCCATTATTCGTTTAATAATTACTTCAATTTATTGACACTTTAAATATTCCAATAGCATACATTATTATATACTTACATATGATTTTGGAGATACAATATCGCAATGGTAAATAAAATTTCTGAAATAAACACTGAACACTAAGATTTTTTTTGTGACATATATGCATATCGCATAACCACACTTTTCATCTGTCAAAATTGAGGTCCAATGCGCATGCTCAGCTACTTTGGTGGTTGAGTACAATGCACTGAACCTGTCACTTATCGTACATGTTTTTCTGACATTTTCAAACGCAGAGATCGGTCTCCTTACTATTCCTCCATGTATTATCCATTTTTTGCAGTTTTCTGTATGGTTAAGTCGTCTTTTCTTTTTTAGCTGCAGAAAACTTATTATCTCAATGCGCTCTCAATGAGTATTTAGTGTGAGTTTCAAAAGAGTTTATATTGGTAGGAACCCTAGTTAAAATTTAGAACTGATTTCAGATTAAATACAGACAGATCAGTTCGGATTAGTCCAGAAATTGTACGAAAACAATCCGAAAATGATCCGAATTATTCAGCAATCAGTAAGGATGAAAAGATAAATCAGAAAAGAGTCCGAATTAGTCGGCAATCTGTGTGTAACGAATCCGAATTTAGTCAGGTTTAAAATCTTAATTGAAAATCTTTATAAAAAAATCTGGTAACACAACAATGATGATTTTGTACATATTAATTCCGGATTTTACCTGACTCATTTCGGATTAAGATATTATACCAGATTAAGACCTGATTATTGCTGACTAGTACCGAATTTCCAACATACAAACTCCGAATTATTCTAGACTCATTTTAGGTTAAGCTTTTTGATCGAACTAGAATCGAATTGTTACGGACTGATTTCATATAAGTTTCGGACTACTTCGAACTTATCTCATATTTGTCTTTTGATCTGCACTAATTTTGGAATATTTTATATCATTTTCGGACTGTTTTTGTACAATCTAGATAAATTCAGTCTGTTTAAAAATCTGAATCCGAAATGAGTCTGATATAATCCGACATTCTATATATGTATGTATTAAATCCGCAACAATTTGGATTTAGTTAGGTTTCGTTGCTTTTATTACAGTTCATTGTTTAATTGTAATTTTTAGGAAATTAGGAAAATTTAATAACCTTAGGATATTTCGCTTAGGAAAATTGTTTTACAAATTTGAATTTTAGGAAATTTTGAAAATAGGAATCTAAAATTAAACTCTAAATCTTAAAGTAAAATACCCTGGTTAAAATTTTGGACTGATTTCAGATTAAATACAGACAGATCAGTCCGGATTGGTTCAGAAATAGTATGAAAACAATCCAAAATTGATCCGTATTAGTTAGCAATCAGTCTGGATGAAAAGATAAATCCAAGATCAGTCCTGAATAGTCCGAAATTGACATGTAATAAATCCTCCATTAGCCAGCAACAATTTGATTTTAGTTAAATCAAAAAACAATCCAAAATGAGTTCACAATAATACAGAATTTGTATGTAAATTATCCGCAAACAGTACGTAACAATCCGGATTAAGTACTGCCAAAAAACTGAACCCAACTTGAATCCGTAATAATCTGAAATCTTTATTCGGACAATCCGGTATTAGTCCACATTTATCATGATTTAATCTGGTAAAAAAGCCTAATTCGAAATGAGTCTGGACAAACTTGGAATTAATATGTACAACATCAGCAATCGCAGTCTGAACAAAAATCTTAATCAGAAAGGAGCCCGAATTAGTCGTCAATCTGTGTGTAACGAATGCGGATTTAGTGCACTTCTCTCACAGTTGAGATGAGTCTCAAATTCTATAAGAACTGTTCACTGTCTGCGTAAAAGACATGTTGCCTTCTAATTAATTATCACTACTTTGGTTAATATTTCGGAATGTGGAATTAATCCGAAACAGTCCGCTTTAGAGTCGGGTTTCTATTATCTGGAATTAGTCCGGTTAAGTCCGAAATTAGTATTATTTGTGTAACTAGTAAATCCGGAATAAATCCCGCCTAATCCGAAATTAATCGGATCATACACGCAATTAATAAATTCAAAATTAATTCTATTGAATTCGAAATTAATCCGGCTTGTGTAATCAGTAAATCTAGAATCTGCATTCACTAGTTACGTTTTATCGAACTGACTTCGGATTATACCTAATTAATTCCGGATTCACTAGTTACACGAATTGTGCAAATTTTGGATTTGGCCGAACTAATTCCGGATGGCAAAACCCTGACAATAAGCCGGAGTAATTCCAGATTATTCCGGAAACAGTCCTGAATTTTTGCGAGGGAAATCAAAATAATCAAAAATAAATTTAATAAATAATAATAATAACAGCTGTTGAATTAGTTCAAGTATCGCAAATAGACTCAATCCAATATTAGTTAAAAGCCATCCGCTAGTAGAGCTACTTTAAGTTTTTGAATCGCCAATAAGTTTTAGAGTATTTTTTTAGACAAATTCCTATTAAAACATTCTATGACATCCCAGATAACACACGTACTAGTACGGTAGTAGTATAATACTAGTACGACGTACTAGACGTACTAGTACTGTACCAGCCATGTACCTTCGCACGGTACCAGGTACTGTACTAGTACGGCGTACCGGTATGCAATATCGGTAGAATACGAGTACTATACGAGTACGACGTACTGAAAACTTTTGTGACTTAGTATAACGTACTGTTATTGTACTGGTACAATACTAGTATGATGTACAATATAAAATATTATATACCCTCCCCTTTCTCTTCCCACAATAGTATTTTCATTATTTTCATTTATTATTCAAAAGAAAATCTGTGGGAGAATGTATATATGTAACTTGTATTCTCACTTATCTTAAAATATCTGGTGTTTTATATTATCAAATATTAATTGATTATTTCTTTACATTTAAACATTATTTCAAAAGAATTTTAAACTTGATGTTATAAATTGCTTTGAAAAACATATTATCACATCCTAACCTATAAATATGTTATATGTATAAGAAAAACTATAACGAAATAACACACAATTGAATTTAAAAATATATCAATATGATCAAGACCGAATTTATGAATTTTTCTCATTATAAATGTAAAAGATTTTGATGTTTTTCAATGAAATAACACCACGGCACCATGTCAAAGTAAAAGAATATAAATCTTATAAAGATCGATGATTTAATATAAATTTAATCTCGGATATTCAAGATAAGTACAGAAGCACAAGTTACAAACGTTAATACTCTTTTGCTGCATCATAAACCACTTTTTTCACCAACATTTATTGCACCGTTTTCAGTGACGCGTTCATATTTGACAATTGTCAAGAAAGTGAGGTTGGGTTGGCATTACCAGCAAAGACTCCCAGTACGACGTACCAGTATTATACTTGTATCGTACAAGTATGTTGTGCTTCTTATTTCAGAAGTACGACGTACTGGTATTGTACTAGTACTATACTTTTATCGAGTAATCATATTTTACAATTCTAACAGTACGACATACTTTTATTGTACTAGTACCGTACTGGTACGACATATATCATTATTTTGTACTTGTATAAAACATAGTATAATACTAGTACGCCGTACTCGTAAATAACGATTAGTACGCTTGGTTATCTGGGATGTTATTATGTAATTGCATTAATATAATACTCCATTGTGATTATTTTCTTTTAATATTATAATTACGATAATCGTATATTATTATAAAAATTATTTTGCAATAGAAATTAAGTTTCATATATGAGTGTTCCATAATAATTAATTATGGGTTTGAAAATATTTTTTCATGCACAGAGAAAAATTAACTTTTTTTGTAAAGGAAAAACGTTAATTTATTTGAAGGGAAAAATTAACTCTTTTGGAGGGAGAAGTTAATTATTTCAAAGAAAAATTTGTTTAAATCTTTATCTTGAAGAAAAATTAAGGTTATGTCTTGGTTAGATGTGTAATCTACATTACCGACGAACAATGAAAAAAGTATATTTCGATTTATGCGCACTTGTTTTCGCGCAACTTTTAATCGTCTGAAATAGTTAAACAAATCATCCAAGGAGAGTTCTTTTCAATGACGAAAAATAATTTAAAATAGTCGATAAAACTATTCTGATGGTATAAAGTTGAATATCTTTATTTCGTCCCACTAAACTTAACCTTCTAGTTTTCTCCGTGCAAAGACTAAATATTTACAAAAGTAATTATAGATAATAAAATTAGAGAGTTGTTCAAAATTTATTTTAAAAATATGTAAATTAAAAATTAATTAAAGGATTAAAAAATGAATCCACACGAAAGAAAGTAATGTTTACTCTATATTTTGTTTTTTTTTTTTTTTTTTTGAGAGAGAAATAATTGTCTTTGCGAAATTGGTTTTTACAAATTCCATTAAAAGTGAGACGAAGCACAGCCACATTGAGAAATAACAAATTGGTTCTATATAAGCGACTCTTGAAATGTTTCTTAAGCCATATAGCCTGAAGCTTATTCATCTTCAAGACGATGGCGATGGTGGAAATTGTGCTTGGGAATTATCTCAGGTGCGTGTACTTGATGAAGTCTCTAGCAAAATTGTTTTTAAAGACTTGTAGTTTAATGTATTTTCTCTACTTTTTTTTTTTTTTTAAAAAAAAAGGTGTTGAATATTCGAAAAACTCTATAAACAATTGTGAAATTTATAAGACAATTTATTATATACTTCCAAGTAGATTAACTTATTTATAATTTTAAACATTATAATATTTAAATTCATAATAATATTTATATATCAGTATATAATTATTTAATAATTTATACTTAAATATCAGCGTTAATAAATTAAATATAATTATTTTTTATTTATATTATTAATTAATAATTATTTTAAATCTTAATTTAGTTATATATGTATTTAATTTGAAAATGTAAATTAAAGCATTATACATAAAATATAGTACATAATACTATATAGTTTTTACATTGTTAATAAGATGTATTGTTCATCAACAATAATAATGACAATAGATTTTTAAATTTAGTTTTGTAATTTGATTTTATTTGTACAGACCTTATAACAAAAAAAGCGAATGCCACACAGAGGCTTGTATTATATTCAGGAATAAACTTTTTATATTAAAAGTTAGTATTTTTATTTACTATACAATATAAATAAAATATTGCATCGGTTTCTTCTCTTTGATTAAAATTGTTATTTGTTTTTTTTTATAATAATTATTGTAATAATAAAAATAATAATAATAAGAAATAAAAATAAGAAATGAAAAATAATATAAATCAATGAAAAAAATTGATAAATTATTATTATCGATGCAGGTAAAAGCAAAATAACAGAAGAAAAATAATTGAATGCTGGGTTCATTTATTATTGCACTTAATTGATTGTTTAGATATACACTGGGAATTATTATCGTTCAATAATTTTTTTATCATTCTGTATATGTAATCTCATTATAGTAGTATATAATAATTATTTACACTGTAATATTGTGATAACACACTAAAATAATCACAGCCAGTTTACTTTATAATGTCGATATAAAACAATTATAGTTACAATAAGATGATTATTATTATTATTATTAATAGTAGGGGTGTAACACTTTTTCATTAGTCAAATATTCACTGGTATTTATAAATATTATTTGCTATATGATACAAATTGTCAGCAGCTACAATTTTGGCAGCATTTTTCTCAAACACGTGATTCAAATATTTTATCATCATTAAGACGACATAATATCATTCAAATTTCGATAACTATATATTATATTTTATTTTAATATTATTATTACTGTAAATACTTTTTATGTTTATATTTATTAATTATTATTACTATTTGTATGATACAAATACATAAAGAATAAAAAAAGTTAAGTTTAAATTTAGCTTCGTAAAAAATTGTCATCATGATTTTTCAATAATTAATATATTTTTATAAATCGACAAAAACATGGATATCCTCTTTTACATTTTCTATGTTAATTATGCAAATTGAGAGCAAAAATTAATGAGAGAAAATTATGCAACCGATATATATACTAATTATTCAAAAATTAGCTTCCTAATTAATTATAATATATATAATATGTTTTAATATACAGTTATTTAATTAATTAAAAATAACTAATTATAACTGAATTTTTATAATTTATCAATGGTGACCTAATTATAGTTATATAAAGTGATTACTACAATTATACTAGATTAAAACAATATATATAATATGACATTCAATAAAATGCTAAGTAACTTCCTATATATATATATAAATATATAATATGTATATTAGTTTATCTTCTATAATATATAGAATTTAAAAAATCAAATTGTAAAAAATGTCTATTTCCTAAATACAATTTTCATCTTTTTTCTTTCAGTCTGACCTCGAAATATTTTTTGTATTTTGTTTTTTTTTTTTGCTAAAATACTACTATGGATATTATTAATATATTGTAAAAATTGTCTCACTTGGCAGAGAAATATTTTTAAGTTATTTTTTTTTACATTTTAGCATTGAATGAAGATGTTTATATATATTATACATACATATATATATATATATTATATGCAGATTTACAATAGGAAGGCGTCAAAGTCTTTTTGGTTGAATCCAAAAAATTGGTAATACTGACTATAAAAATTAAGTCAGGATTGGTTAAAATAATAGAATTAATTAGTTTTTGTCTTACACCCACATCCTTTTTTCGTTTATTTGTTGTAAATTGTAAACAAAAAATAGGTGGTGTAATATATGAAGTTTTTTTGAAAATATTTTACTTCTGGTTTTCAAGACTATATTTTTATTCCTAGAGATTTAAAATTTAGATAATATTTTAATAATTATTGAAATTTAACTAAAATTGGTATTTAACAGCGCTGTAAATCTAATTGTTTGATTATAATTAAAAAATTAATAAAAATTGAAGATTTAATATTTCTTGCATGGATTCTAGTATTCATCTTTACTAATTTCTAATCAGTAGAAGTGAATGTGAAAATGAGAGTGAAAAATTACAAGAAGTAGAAATGGAAATGGAAATTACATAATCGACCCCCTGTTCAATTTAAAAATTTTTGGTCGCCATATTGGATCCACCATTTTGAATTTTGTAAATCCAAACATTAATTATTTGTAATCGGCGACCCAAAAAAATCAAAAATACTGAGTTTTTTCTCCACTATTTAAAAATTTACGAAACCTGACTTTAAATTTGTAATCAGTGACCCCAAAAACTGAACAAATTCCTAAAAATTTATCCGACATTTTTCTAACAATCCAAAAATCGTTAAAATTACCAAGTTCTATATAAATCCAATAGCTATTAAAAATCGAGTAAAATTTTAATCCTTAAGGAGATAAAGTAGCCATGGACCATCGGAAAAATATATATTTTTCTGAATTTAAATAATACATCTTATTACCTATTAAAAAAATCTTTATCGTTGAACGAAATAACCAAGATTAAAAAGTAGCTGCAGGTTATTTACCCATGCTTAAAAATAACATTAAATCTCTTTTAGTAACAAAATACCATTTCTTTGGAACTGTAAATATTTTTGTACTTTTGTCCTCATTTTGTATTAATTTTAACTCATCTGAGCATAATTTTTAAATATTTAGCATAGTATTACTATTTTTACAGTACCAACTAAAAAAAGTCGAAGAAAGTAGAACATTTTCTTTAAAATTTTTTATTAAATTTGCTTTTAAAAATGAAAAATATATTTTTGATGTCATCAATTATTAGAATTTTGTTGATCTCTCACGAATATTAAAAATAAATACTATAACTTATATTGAAACTGAGGCAAGAAGAATTCTTTATTTTATATTCCATGGGGCTGTTCACAACATACGTTCACGGAGAGAAATAGATGGTAAGAACTTATGATCTTAAGATGGTAAAAAGTAGATGTTATCCGGTACCATCATTATGCTACTCGGCACTATCAAAGATGTTACAAAAAGTATGGTTATGTTACCCACTACAATCAAGATGTTACTCCGTACAATTTGGATAGTAACTGATAGAATCTAGATAGCTGTCCGTATATGTAGGATCAAATATGGTACGGGGTACTATTTAGATAGTACCCCGTACCATCTATTTCTCTCCGTGTCCCCTCATAACAAAAGGATATCCATAGGATATCCATATCAATGGTCGATATCCTAGAATGGTCCCCAGGATATCTTGGGATATCCATAGGATATCCCTAGGATATCCAAACCGCCGGTCTGTGGGACATCAACAGACATCCATAGGATATCCACAAGATATCCACAGGATATCCACAGGATGTGGATTCAGACAAATGTCTGAAGGACATTTATGAAAGTCTATAGAGATATCCAAAGGATATCCAAACCGCCGATTTTTTGGATATCCTTAAGAAATCCTTTTGATATCCATAGGACATCCCTAGGATATCTGCGGGATATTATCAGTATATCCCAAGGTATCTTGTGTTATTAGGGTAACGATTTTTTTGGAAATTTCACCCCCCTCCCATGTAACGCTCAGTTACATACATTAACGCCATTTTTTTAGCTGTCCGTAACAAATAGCTTGACTTCCCCTCCCCCCTGGAAGCGTTACGTATTTTGTGAACAGACCATCATGTAAAAAAAGCTTTTTGTATTTGAAGTAAACAAAAACTGGGTCAATAAACCTGATACCACTTCTTCATCTTGATTCTTGAAGTAAGTCAGTCTCTTAGTTTTTTTTCTAAGAAATATAATTATGATAACAATCATATTTTGCTATACATCCTGAAAAGAAAGTACTTGCCTCTCTGTCGAGTTTCAAGATTTTCGAAGTTTTCATAAGCATTCTCTTGCTTACTTGACTGTCAAGTGTTTTCTTTATCATTCAAAATAAAAACTGAAGTAACTATAATATTGGTCTCTCCAGTGAAGATAGTATCTTTTTTTTTCCTCCTCAAATTTAAATTCTTTTGATGAGGCCACTTGAATTTATCAAAAAAAATTTTTTTTGTCTCTTTGATAACCTGTTGCAAAATGTCAAAGTGTCCATATGGTTCACCTTAAAATATCGAGTATTCTTTTGTAAACATAAACACATATACACACAATGTTTTTTCAAGGAAAGATATTTCTTCCACTAATTTGTTATTATGTCCATAATAAATTTTCTTAAACTGATTTTTAAGAATTTCGTACATTTTTTTGGGGGGGAATTTGAATTACTCGTAAATGGTGTCGGCATTTTCTCGTATTTTAACAATGAGAAATGATTTCTTACAAAGTTTCACGAGCATTTCAATTCTTTGTCATGAAGGTTTTCTTAATTGGGGCAATGCTATAAGATAAATGTTTCCTAAGATAGCTCCAATTACTAAGAGTGCAACACTAATACCAGAAACAAATCTGACGAAACGAACAAATCGTCGACCCCTTGAATCTTTTTTACTCTGATTGGGAAATACTGCAAGGCCTAAAAGAGGACCGGCAAGAGCACCAGCAACATGAGCTGCCCATCCCACTCGCCCACATCCAAGAAGAGCAGGAACTGGAAGTGATGCTACGTCCGCTCCTGCAAGAAGTAGAACAGCCACAAGACGCCAGCCAGCATAACGAAGCTCTCCATGACACTGGAAAAGTAAAAAGAGAACATAGTTTCAAGATCTATTGCTTTATATATTGTATTGCGCACATATAATCTAAAATAATAGATATTATTAGAAATTTATTATATAAACGACACCAGAATGAGAAACTCCGACGAATTTCCAAATTTTATATTCTTAAACGTATTTTCCTAACAACTATTTTTCCTAATAGTTATACTTTGTCCTAAAACTATTTCCCTAATTCTTTTCCTAATTCAATTTTCCTAAAGTTTTTTTTTCGAACAATATATTTTTTTCTAATAATATGTTTTTCATGACGATATGCGATTTGCAATTGTTTTTTTTAGCAGCAACAAATGTCATTCTATTTCTAAATTCAGAATGAATAGGTTTCAAAAGTTTCAAAATTTTGATTGTAAATTAATATTGCGATTCTAAATTAAAAGTGTAAATTTAAAAGTTTCAATCCTACAATAATATTCATTTAATATTAATTTGGAAAAATAAGGAAGATTGCGGTCTTCGAATTGTGGGCTAACAACTTTTGGTTGTTCTGAAATATCTCGAAAATTTGGCCCATACGATTGTTCTCTAAACAGTAATTATTTTTAAATTACTTTGAATTCATTGTTTAATTGCAATTTTTAGGAAAATTTAATAACCTTAGGATATTTCGCTTAGGAAAATTGTTTTACAAATTTGAATTTTAGAAAATTTTGAAATTAGGAATCTAAAATTAAACCCTAAATCTTAAAGCAAAATACCCTGGTTAAAATTTTGGACTGATTTCAGATTAAATACAGACAGATCAGTCTGGATTAGTTCAGAAATAGTATGAAAATAATCCAAAATTGATCCGTATTAGTTAGCAATCAGTGTGGATGAAATGATAAATCCAAGATCAGTCCTGAATAGTCCGAAATTTACATGAAATAAATCCGCAATTAGCCCGCAACAATTTGATTTTAGTTAAATCAAAAAACAATCCAAAAGGAGTTCAGAATAATACAGAATTTGTATGTAAACTATCCGCAAACAGTACGTAACAATCCGGATTAAGTACTGTCAAAAAACTGAATCCAACTTGAATCCGTAATAATCTGAAATCTTTATGCGGACAATCTGGTATTAGTCCACATTTATCATGATTTAATCTGGTAAAAAAGCCTAATCCGAAATGAGTCTGGACAAACTTGGAATTAATATGTACAAAATCAGCAATAGCAGTCTGAACAAAAATCTTAATCAGACAGGAGTCCGAATTAGTTGTCAATTTGTGTGTAACGAATGCGGATTTAGTCAGGTTTAAAATCTTAATTGAAAATTTGTATGTAAAAAATCTGGTAATAATCCTCAACATTGATGATTTTGTTCATATTAATTCCGGATTTTTCCTGACTCATTTCGGATTAAGATGTTATACCAGATTAAGACCGGATTATTGCTGACTAATACCGAATTTGTTACATACAAACTCCGAATTATTCTAGACTTATTTTAGGTGAAGCTTTTTGATCGACCTATAATCGAATTGTTACGGACTGATTTCATATAAGTTTCGGACTACTTCGAAATTATCTCATATTTGTCTTTTGGTCTGCACTAATTTTGAAATATTTTATAACATTTTCGGACTGTTTTTGTAAAATCTAGATTCAGTCCGTTTAAAAATCTGAATCCAAAATGTGTCTGATATATTCCGACATTCTATATGTATTAAATCCGCTACAATCTGGATTTAGTTAGGTTTCGTTGCTTTTATTACAGTTCCTACTCATACCGCCAGGTGCACTTCTCTCACAGTTGAGATGAGTCTCAAATTCTATAAGAACTGTGCACTGTCGACGTAAAAGACATGTTGCCTTCTGACCAATTGTCACTACTTTGGTTAATATTTCGGAATGTGGAATTAAACCGAAACAGTCCGCTTTAGAGTCGGGTTTCTATTATCTGGAATTAGTCCGGTTAAGTCCGAAATTAGTATTATTTGTGTTACAAGTAGATCCGGAATAAAACCCGCCTAATCCGAAATTAATGGGATCATACACGCAATTAATAAATTCAAAATTAATTCTATTGAATTCGAAATTAATCCGGCTTGTGTAATCAGTAAATCTTGCTTCTTCGTTAATATATTCGGATGTGAATCCCGAATATTCAAGAGCACCATTTTTCTGTGGACTTTTATTGTAAATCAATTCAATACCGGATAGTTTCGAGATCTGGGTTACCGACGGCCGCAGAAAAAAGGACGCTGATCAGCGACGCCTTTGAGCATGGCTCGTCGGCCATTTAATCCTCATTTTCATCCTTGTGTTCGTAGAGTACAGTCAGTTTTCTATTTTTTGAGAAATAATTGAAATGTAACATGTAATACTGAGATTAGGTAATACAGCGGTTGCTTCGGTTCTTAAATTGATTTACTCCTCCAGAACCAGCTCATGGAAATCTTGTGTCAGGCTTTTTGAGAGTCTCGCCTTAAGTATTTTAAAGTATGCGTGTCAGATTTGGGGTTTGTCGTGTTCTGATCGAGTGGACAGTGTACAATAATCCTTTTTTAAGAGACTACTAAATCTACCCAATTGCACTCCGGGCTATGTTGTAAGGTTAGACACTTAGACAGTGTCTGACGAAGTTGTTGATGATTGCAAAAAGTAACACCGAAAATAAGTGCAATTGGTTTGTTCAATTAAGAATTCATTTTTTCGGGCCTAGTGGTCTCTTGGATGCTTGGAATGCCATGACCCCCGAATCTTTCTACTGTGAAGAAGCCTTTCTTCTCAAGATTTGGGAGATACTTGAGATATCGGGATATGGAAAGTAGACAGATTTCAAGGAGCCTTGTAATTTTTCCATATTTAACTTTACAACCGGGAACTCAGGCTTATATTCTTATGCAATTGCCTTTATTTTTCAAAAATTTTTTTACTCAAATTCGACTATTAAATCTTCACGTATCTAGAATTGTTTTTGATAAGAGAAAATACTCCTTTCCCCCAATGCAATTTGCGCCTCTTGTAGTCTTGAATGCGAGGATCTTTATCATATTTTGTTATTTTGTCCTGCCTGTAAACATCTGCTCACTTCCTTCAGTAAAGAATCTCAGGATATTGTTTCGACTGTAGACACTTGGTTGAATATCTTTTCATCTTGCGACCGTTTAACTCTTAAACGTTTAGTGATTGTTTTGCGTAATATTTTTACCATGCGTTTAAACGCACTGTACATACATACTGCTAGCGCTTAATTTTAATTTTACACTTTTAATTTACTTTGTAATTTTTTTTTTTCGTTATTCCTCTTGTAAACACAATTTGTAATTAAGAAAGAGAAATAAATAAATATTGAGATTAGGTATCATCGTCGTTGTCAACTGGACGGTGAGTCCTAGTAAATTAATTAGGAGTCGTTTCCTTCTGAGTCGATCTCATTATTATATAAATTAAAATTGAAAATTCTTAATTCAAATATTCAATTCTGATGAAATGTATCCAAATACAATAATAATTCAAAACTAAGGGAATCATTTCCATTGGAAGAAAGACCATTGTTCCATATTTTTGAAACTAATTAGAATAAGTTTCAACAATAAAAAGTAAATGTATAAATTTAAAACTTTTATTTTTCCTTCTTTTCTATAAAATTTCACAATGCCCAATGCCAAAGAATACTGTTGTATATATAAACAAGTTGTTATTATTTAATATCGAATATTTTTATTCCCAAAATTTCCTCCAATTTTATAAATACCTTTGTTTCCTAAATTTGTTAAAACTACTTATAATTGTCGTAGTTAACAAATTATATTCCTTGAAAAATGTGTAATTCCTTATTCTATTTTTAAATTTAAGGGGGGGGGGTAAGGTTAATTCCATGAAAAAAATGCATATTTTTACGAATTTTTTTTGGCTATACAGAAAGAGTTAATATATTTATTAAATTTTTATATAATAGTACAACATTTGAACAGTATTTCACCAAAGTTTCATTGCAAAATATTGAGAATTGATCGAGTGACAGTACATTTCCTCTGGCTCCCCAAAAAAAGTTATTTTGTGGTGTTCACTGTAACTCGCAATAGAATCATCTAAAACAAAAGAATCAAAATGGATTTGTTAAAGGAGATGTTTTTCTAGGTTTTTTTTATTTTTGAATTTTTTGTAGCACTTTGAAGCCAAAAACCCGATTTTCTCTATAAAAAATCAGCCGGGTTTTGGCTTCAAAGTGCTACAAAGAATTCAAAAATAAAAAAAAAAAACCCTCCCAGGGATCCCTAGAAAAACATCTCCTTTAACAAATCCATTTTGATTCTTTTGTTTTAGATGATTCTATTGCGAGTTACAGTGAACATTGCAAAATAACTTTTTTTGGGGAGCCAGAGGAAATGTATTGTCACTCGATCAATTCTCAATATTTTGCAATGAAACTTTAGTGAAATACTGTTCAAATGTTGTACTATTATATAAAAATTTAATAAATATATTAACTCTTTCTGTACAGCCAAAAAAAATTCGTAAAAATATGCATTTTTGTCATGGAATTAACCTAACCCCGCCCTTAATAGAATCCAATTATAATCATTCCCGAGTTATTGGATGAGAATTCAGATTCAAAAATTAATTCAATTATTATAACTAAATTTTCTCTTTTAATTATTTTCATAGTATAAAATTATTATTTACGTTACATGACGTAACAATATATTTATCTAAGTTTTAAATAAAAGCGGGTACCTGGAATTTTAATGAAAAAGTATATTTTGAATATACAAAACATTATTTTTGTTAATAATTAAATTATCGCGATTAATACTTTCCTTTTAGTTCAGGGAAGAAGTTAAAATTGCAAATTTCATTTGTCAAATTTAATCTCTCTATTTTGTTTAGTATTTTTATTGAAATGAAATACCAAGATATTTCAGCAAAACTTATTGTCATTGCAATTTGTACAGAGTTTAATTCAATAAAATTCTGTAATACTCACTAAGTAAAGATGTGCAAGATGACTGGTAAGTAATGCATAAACTCCAGCTGAAGCACCAAGAAGAAGAAGACTCGGCTGAAGTAGAGAGGCACCCAAAGCACCGCAAGCACCACCTCCTAGATAAATAGCTATAACAGCTAAACGTCCTTGTTCGATCTGTAAAAATCAGTAAATTTCCGCATATTATATATTTTCCTATATATGTCTACGAATCCATTTAAACTCTATAACAAAGTTAAATTCTACATGTATTTTTCCACCTCAAAACTGTACTCCTCAAATCGAATATTGTAAAAAATGTTTCTGCCTATACATTTATCGATCTTTTTTTTGCCAATACTGACTTTTTTTTGTAATTGACGATTGCATTGAAAGCTACCAATTAAATTGATTGGCTCACCTCGAGTGGCATGGCCAGTACCAGTTGAATGACCACGTTCAATGTGAGGTGAAGAGCATCTGAATGCAACAGCATGTATGAAACGAACCTCCAGCCTTGTACCCTCTGTCGTGGATCATACACGAGCCACCTTCGTATTGTTTCATCTGCCACACAGTGAACTGTTATCTGTGTACATTAAAACGACCATTGGGCTTTTACCACATAAATTTTCTGTTATTCGAGATATCGTAAAACAAGTAGGAGGCCTACATTTAAATATTTATCAACCCTCCACAAAAAAAGTGTACTTCTTCATTTTACTTACTATAAAGTATACATTAATTAAAACGTTTATTTTTAAAAAATAAATACTAAAAATAAATGAATGATATAATGCAGATTGTAAAAATACAATCAATATTTTTATTATTATTATTATTTTAATATTGCGTTCTTTTCGAATCATTACAAAATGTTTAATGAACATATCAAATATAATAGACAGAAAATTTTGTGGCATTCAGATATTTTAAATTCATTTACTAATTAAATACATTTAAAAAAATACTGTTTCAAATATCTATATTATTTGATTTTTCGTAAATTTGGAAAATATTTTCATAATACTTCCATTGTATGAAAATACAAGCTTAATTATTTTTGTAAATTAATTTTACTCATACTGTATTAATAATGGATTGATGATAACATTTATTAATTTCGTTTTCGTTTCATCGTTGCTTTTGTGTTTCGTTAATAAAACTAAAAAGGAAAATATATTAAAATAATGCGTGTTTTATGTAAAAGTAAAATAAAATTAACACAAAATATTTTTATAAAATAATTTATAATTATTATTATTTTAAGAGCACATGAATTTCCCATAAAAATATATGGTTAGAATTTTTATTTTAAAGATTGTTATTATCTCTTCAAGCCACTCGAAAAGCTTCAGATGAGGCCTACATTAATGCAGAAGGACAGCTATATGGCGCAGGCATCGCAATTAATTAAATCAATATTTTATAAACTAGAAGTCGGAATAAAAATTATGCGCTCAATTTTTTTTATGTAAATAAATGAAAAAATTAATATATTTCTTTAAACTAGAAACAAATTTTTGAAAACAAAATATCACTCATAACAAAAGGATATCCATAGGATATCCATATCAATGGTCGATATCCTAGAATGGTCCCCAGGATGTCTTGGGATATCCCTAGGATATCCAAACCGCCGGTCTGTGGGACATCAACAGGACATCCATAGGATATCCACAGGATATTCCTAAGACATCCACAAAATATCTATTGGATATAATATATCGCAGGATATCCATGGGATATCCTCAGGATGTCCGTGGGATATTCTTAGGATATTCACGGGATATTTAATATCTCAACATATATTTTTAAAGGTTAAAATTGTTAAGCTAATATAATGAATAATAATATAATAAAAACGAAAATCTTATGAGCTTCTAATTTATTTTAAATGAAGATTTGAAACGCATTTTTCAAAGTTTTTAAATAAACTCATGCACTTAATATATAATTAATATTAATAGTTATTCGTTATTTGCGGGGAAGAATTTATATTGTTTGAAGCCAATTTATTTTCTGACAATATTAAGCATATGAATAAAGGAATGAATCACGAATGAGAAAAAAATTAGTTAAAAATTTTTCAAATTAAACAAATTTCTCGAAAAACAAGTTGCATTTTATTTTATTTATATAAAATTTAATTCACAGAATATTTTCACTCGTAGTCTCATAATGACTTTAAAAACAGTATCCTGAGAATATCTTCTTGACATCCAGAAGATATACTGAGAATATCCTGAAAATATCTTTGGGATATCCTGACGATATCTATAGGATATCCTGATGATATCTGTGGGATATCCTGACGATATCTATGGGATATCTGGAGGACATTTATGAAAGTCTATAGAGATATCCAAAACGCCGATTTTTTGGATATCCTTAAGAGATTCTTTTTATATCCATAGGACATCCCTAGGATATCTGCGGAATATTATCAATATATCCCAAGATATCTTGTGTTATTAGGGATGGTTCGATATTGTTCTTTAAAAAAATATAAAATAAATTTTTATAAAGAAAAGTTAAATGAATGTTATTGATCGATATTTAGTTTTCAACTATTTTCAATAATAAATTTTAGTAATATTTGAATAATATTAAATTTTTAATACCAAGAGTTGTACGTGTTTTAAACAATAAAAGTTTAAAAATAAAATAGAAATATAAGGCAACAAAAGTCAATAAATTACAAAAAAACAAGATTAAACGAGGCATTTTTTTTATTTGTAAATATTTATGTCGCTTCCGACTATAAATATAGATATTAAAGGGAGAAAGGGAGATATTACAGATTTTGGATGTATAATTATATCTAATGATTGTAAAAGGTCTTTATATATATATACATAAAACAAATCGGTCTACGAAGCATAAATTTAACGAAGCTTCATCGCTTGGACGTGGCTTGTCCCAGCTTTTAATGAAGATTGAAGAGTGAAATGTGGGATAGAACGCCAGCTGTAAATAATTATTACGCTACGTTTGTCGCAAGATTTAATTTATTATTGTTCACCATGAAACTACGCGATATGACTTTACACTCGCTGCTAATATTAAATTATTATTTCACAATAATCTATATGAGCTTTTGCTTTGTGATTCTTTTTTTTGCAAAAATTTTGAATATTTAGTTGTAATTTGAATTTAACAAAATTTGAATAATCATGAATGTTAAAAGTCAGAAATATTAAAAATTGTTAACTGTTTTTTTTTTGAGTTAAGTAATATGAAAAATTGATTTGTAAATAATATAAAATTATATTATTTTAAAGAAGGATAAAAAAATTATGAATAACTGGAATATTTAATTTATAATTCATAACGCTGATTTTATAAATATTAATTTTTCAGACGTAATAAGCTTTTTATTGCCTGAAAGGAAAGGAATAACATTCGGAGTATTTAAGCCAGAAAAAGTTAAATAATTTTAAAAAAACTAGATTTTTTTTTGAATGTAGAAAAGAGCTTCTTAAATAGGAATTTGAAAACACAATTTAATTAAAGTACAGAATGACCCGGAAATGCAGTAGAATTTCTAGAATTGTATGCGACGTCATTTATACAAATAGTACTCTTATAATTTCATAAATACTCTAGAAAAATAAGAAACAAAAGTATATTCAAACGAATTTTTCTTATGAAAATTGAAATTTTGTCGTGACTAATTGGTAAAATTAATTATTATTGATAATTAAAATTACTGTTAAATATTTTTTAATTTAAATTATTAACTGATTTACAGTCATATATTATAAGTATGCAATTGTATATTAAAAAAAATTTAGAATATTACTTAAAAAACAACTCTGAAGTTTATTATTATTTTTGTATTTTTTTAAATTTTTCAATATTTCTTAATTTATTTGCTAGTGTCTTGCTTTATTCGCTATGTGGTCTTTTTAAATAAAAAACACAGGTATTTTTTTATACGTCAAAAAGTTTAATAATATTCTATATTTCTTAATGCAGTTTACCTTTAACATGGATCGTTTCTGCTCACGTTTTACTTAGTTTAGTTAATTAATTTTTAAAAATTTTAAATGGCTGATGTTCGCTTTATCGCCATACTTTTCTCTACATAAGAAGCAGCTTGAACTGGCACTGCAGTTTGCAAACTTATGATTGACTTCAACGTATTTGAAGCACGCAGTTGATCTGTCCGCTGCCTTACAAACTCTTCCTATGTGGCTGTACGCCAGGCACCGGTGGCACCGGGTGACTATCATCCTTCTTTTTATTGGAAAACACATAAAGCCAATTCTTATGCGCCCTAATTTTTCCAGCCTGTCCGCCTCCTCTGGGCTCCTAGGACTGTCACCTACCTGCCTTATGGAGTACTTCCGCCAACGCCAGTTGGACTTCTTCTTCTTGGGTATGACTATCCAGGTCACGGATGTTGAGTGTGACTTGTCGATCGACGGTCTGTACCTTCCCAATGCTTTGCTTAGTAAGTTGGCATACGTTGTCCCTGTTGCGACTCGGAATACCATTGCAGATCCAATTGTCGCTTACGTCTTACTGGTTTGATTAGGATTCGGTGCTACCGTCACCTTCGCAATCTTCTCCGCGCCGAAGCCGCTTCTTATGGATACAATCTCTTTTCCTGTTCCGCTCTTTCCGGTTCACCTCCACATATCCTATTGCACCACCAAGATTAGTATCTCCATGATGAGCTAGGTCATACTTTTTTTTGCCTCACTGACAAGATCCTAAAGAGTCTTAAGTTCGTCCTTAATAGTCATGTTGACATTCTTTTGGGCTTCACAAGAATTTACCATCTTGGCGATTTCCTCTTCAATTCTCTGAAGGCACTCAGCTTTCTCCTGTCTGAGCTTTAAACACTTTTCACGTACTTCTTTGATTGTCTCGTTGTCTAGATCAGATGGAATCAAACTTCTTCCACTGCTGACACTAGAAACGCTTAAAGCGCTTCCTCTTCTACTTTCAAGTCTTTCCCAGCGGACCTGCGGAACCTTAAGAAACTGGGTGCCCCCTTGGTCCATCCTCCTTGTGGCATTGGGTGCTGCAGTATCCAAGGTGTACAATGTCTTTTTAAATTTGGAAAATAGCTATTATATTTTTTGTTTAATAATTTATGTTATGTGGGTGTTAATTACCTAACATTTATGTTATTAAACAACATGTTTAGAACTTATTTGATTCTCAGAATCGCTTCGTAATAGAAGAATATAAATAAAAATAAGAAATATTTAATAAATCCGTGCTGTGAAAGCGTAGAAATGCTTCAGCTTTATTTTTGCAGACTATGCCGGACTATAATTGTTACCGTTATAATAGATTTATTTCTGTTTAAGGTTTAAAGTTTATAATTGTGTTATATTTTATTATTTTTAAGTTTTAGTTTATTGTAATTTTCGTTAAATTAAAGTTTTCGTTTAATAGAAATAATATTGTTTTCAATTTGTTATGTATATATATATAATATATACGTTTCTATGTATAATTATATAAAGTGTATTAATAGTGTATATTAATTATTAAATGAAAGTTAACGATATTCAAAGTATAATTTCCATTCATTTACTTTTCAGTCACATTTCTGCCACTTGCTATCAAATGTTCCGGTTATTAACAATAATCGTATATTATTGCTTTCTCTTCTCACGAGGAAGTTTTGTATTCGTGAAGATTTTCGATTTTTTAAAAATGAGTTAAATGAGCTTATTTTTATCTAGAATGCATACATTTGAAGTTTTAAACAAATGTCCGGATGTATGTGTGTGTGTGTGTATGTCACAAAATTTTGTATACAAATTATCTCTAATACACTTCGATGGATTGTCCTGAAATTTTATAAGCTTATTACAGTCATCAGTACCTAAAATCAGACACAAGGATTTCCAAAAATATCAACATACTTTTTTTATGTCACTTTTTTAAAAATTCGAAAATACGTTTTTTAACCAAATTTTATTACACTGTAAATATAATTTTTTGTCCAAAATCTTATTACAAAGTAATAAAACAATTACACTGTACAATATTTTTCAATTTATTAAATTAAAATTGATCCACTTGCTTAACAATTGATTGCCGGTCATAATTCCTTAAATGTTAGAGAATTATATTTGATGCATATAAATACACGAAGCAGAAAAGCGAAGAAAGCGAGGTAAACTGGTGGTCTGCGTGTTGTTTCTTACAGAGCTTTTGCTCTTATTACATTAGTGGATCGCTGCGCGCGTAACATCTATTTCCGGTGGTCTGGAGAACGTTCCGTTGCGGTATGGAATCCCTTTTGTGTCTCGCTCCTTCCCTTTCTCCTTTTTCCCTTATCATGCTACCTTGCATTCTACTTGTTCCAGGTTCCCATGGCGTGGTGGACTATTCTTACCTTTTTCCACCTACTCTCGCACCACTTCTCTCTTTAAGAGAAGTTTTGCGCGTTCGCGAATTAGTACTACATTTAGCTTTGTGGCTTTAAGTTTATGCATTTTGCTTGCGCGCATTCTCCATTGCCAACGAGTTTCCGGAAAAGAGAACATGAGACAATTTAAAAGATGGAGAGAAGAAAATTATGAGGGGGAAAAAAATAAAGGGATATAGCATGGTAAGAGGATGAAATTAAATGTGATAAAATAAGAAAGAAGGACTGATAAAAACTAGCTACGTGTAAAATTAGAATACGAAACAAAGTAATAAGAAACATACAAAAAAAAGTTTTAGTAAAATTTAGGTATTATTTGCAATTTTTTTCACACGTTAAATATAAGAAATAGAGTAAAAAAAATTTTAATAACGTGAAAGGAAATTAAATGAAACGAAGTGAAAAAGGGAAATGACTGTGAATCAAAAGAAGAAATATAAAAGAATATAAAGAAAAAGAAGTGCAGAAGGAAATATTATAGACCGGAAGTTTCAAAGAATATAACCCAGGTCAGCGATTGTCGTTGGTTTGTCGAAGGAATTGCTTTCTAAGTCGTACGTCTCACTACTATCAGACGATTATCGACAAAATATGTTGTCACTAAAAAGATCGCTTTTTACGTTCTGAAAGTCGATAAGAAAGTAACGGCTGTTATCAGCAATGGATGGATTCTCCGCTGGTTTTATGTGCACTTATGCACCCTTATTTCTTGAAAGTTATATAACCAGGCTGAGAAAACTATTATACTCTTTATTCATCTTCCAAGCACCATGTGTTTGAAAAAAAAAACTTTATTAAGATTCTACGAAAAACATTTTTTCCTCCCTCTTTGTATAGAAGCATATTTACAAATACATTAAAAGAATTATTTTATTATTATAGAAATAAATAAATTGTAAACTAAAATTTTTTTCTATTATATTTACCTCAATGATACTGATGAATATCATAAGATAAGGCGGTCGTATACTGAATTTTGGTTTTCGAGGGGGAATTGAATGCCTAGGTATGGGTTTCGGTATGAATTCTTCTTCCCTCAATTTTTTATACATTGGACTGTTCATGATTGATGAATCAGGTGAATATTGGGGTTCAGTTTCTGGATATGTTGGATCCAAGTCTGAATAAGTGATTGTCGACATGGTCGGAGACTCCTCCAGTAAGGCGGCTTCCGCGTCCATGTTGGTACCTAGAACAAGAGAAATAAAATTATATCAACCAATAGTCTGAGTGTCAATTCAAATATATGTGTCGTATAAATAATAAGATATAAGTTGGAAAAGATTAATATTAAAAATTATATCTATGTTAAATTTCAAGAATCACAATTCCAGTAATTGTTTTTGTTGGGTAAGGTTAAATTTTATTTGTATATTATTGAAATAAATATATATATAATTTTTTATTTCATTGTATGCTATACATTGTTACCGTTATAATAAATTTTTTTATGTTTAAGGTTTAAAGTTTATATTTGCGTTATATATATATTTTTGAGTTTTCATTTATTGTAATTTTCGTTCTCGTTGATACAGGCCAGGAGAAGGATAGCTGATATAGCGGTGGAAAAGGGATAGGACTAATTACGTTAGAAATAATACCAAAAAGAGGGGTGGTATGAAATTAGACAGTGTGGTTAAAAGGTCGACCAAAGGAGCTCCTGAAGGAAGTGGAAGTAAAAGGTCCAAGGGCAGACGGGTTCTTACCAATGTCAGCAATGTAAGTACAATTTCATTTTCAATAACTTTAAATAATACGGTACAAGGTCCTTATATATTTAAAGTGAAGGCGATCGTTGCCTTATTATGATAAGGAGATCTGGGCCTTATTGATGGCGACATGATTACTCCTGGTATTGCCAGAAATAAAATAATTTTAATATAAATAATATTGTTTTTAATTTGTTATGTATATATATATATGTCGTAGCCTCTTAGTGAAATCTGACATTTCATGAAATGTCTAGACTTTTCATAAAACGCAAGCACATTGTGAAATAAATATTTATTTCACTATGTGTCTCAAATTTTTAAACATTTCATGAAATGCAACGGTTAATTACGCATTTAGTGTAATAGTATAAAATAACACAATGTGTCTAATATTTTAAAGCATTTCATGAAATGACTAAGTCTCATTATGCCGATCATGAAAAGAGACAAATTTCGAGTTTGATTTATAAGAAATAATAATTTTTTGAATGCAATAATATTTATCAACAAAAGATTAAAAAGGAATTTGATAAAGAAACACTTTATTTAAGTTTATTTTGTTTAATTGAAGATAAAACATTTCTTTTGTTATTTATTAGTGCAGGAGAGACTGTAAGCTTACCACAACCTTACCATGTAAACTTACCACGACCTTACAGTGTAAGCTGACCTTAGCTTTACTGTGTAAGCTTACGGAAGTTTTAAGTTTACCTCAAGGTTACTGTAGACTTACACGGTAACCTTACAAACCCTACAGATATCCTTACAGTAACCTGACAGCAAGAAGCCGTGCTATGTGGGTAAATTTAATATAGAACTAAAATTAACAAATACAATAGCACTGTACAGGCTCAAAAGACAGTGAATCATTTGAAAACAGTTACCCGTCAATGAATGAATCATTGATAGATAAATAAAGAAGGGGAGAATCAAACTCGAAATTTGTCTCTTTTCATGATCGGCATAATGAGACTTAGTCATTTCATAAAATGCTTTAAAATATTAGACACATTGTGTAATTTTATACCATTTCACTAAATGCATAATTAACTGTTGCATTTCATGAAATGTCTAAAAATTTTAGACACATAATAAAATAAATATTTATTTCACAATGTGCTTGCGCTTCATGAAAAGTCTAGACATTTCATGAAAATGTCAGATTTCACTAAGAGGCTACGACATATAATTGTATAAAGTGTATTAATAGTGTATATTAATTATTAAATAAAAATTAACGATATTCAAAGTATAATTTCCTTTCATTAACCTTCCAGTCACATTTCTACAACTTGCTTTTAAATGTTCCGGTTATCATTATAATATGATAACAATGTTTAGCAAAAAAAGAAGTAACAGATATTTTTATGGTCTCTCAGAAAGTTTACGAGATCGAACGATATTCCACAAGTTAGTTGAATCTCATTACTATTCCTTTTATTGTCTGATGTAAACGTAATAAAACAGCCTAGAACTCTACGTCATAAACAATGTAATCTGAAATGCAATCACAAGGTACTTAGCAATATCAGAAGAGACATAGAACTCTTATCATGAAATTTCATTTTCCTCATTATTATCGTGTGTCCAATATATAATTAATTTATAATATTAATTAATATAAAAAAAATGTGTAAACTATATTTGTAATTCATTTCTAAATCTTTAATTTAATTTTTCAGTTAAAACTTAAGTCGACTTTGGCTCATATATACCATTTGGGTCTCTATTCAGGATTAATAATCTTCGATCTAGTGTCCTAGTCTAAAGGCCGGCATTGTCGACCAAACTATTACCTGTGTAACGACTTTGGAATTACATACGGAGTAGGTACTACTGTGGCATAATAAACGTGAATATATCTCTATACAAATGTACCACGGTTCTCAACTAATTCTCTAATTTCATCTCATATTCTCTGTTACTGCGTGGACTCCACAACCTGGACCAAGGATATTGCTTGCTCAAGGCTCTTTGTCAGTATTTTAATATCTAATTACTTGAAAAAATATTGTTAATCAAATACATAATAAAGTTTAACATTATATTAAGTTTGCACATTTTCATTATCTTATTCCCTTAGGCAAAAAGCTGTTTGCTTCATCCAAATAAATCTGAGGTAATAATATTAAAATATTTATATAAGTCGTCAAATGAGTACCAACAATCATTCAAATTGGTTATGTTTTTTATTATTTCGATGAATTTAAAGGGATAGAAAAAATTATAATGCACTAAATACACCAAAATCTTTTTGGACGGTAAAATAAATGATAATGATCAATTTAAAATAATGCAAGAACTATCGAGCGCAAATAATGTCACATGAAATTTTTTGGAATTGGTAGTATGACAAGTAAATAATACAGTTGAGAAGAGAAAGATAATTAATACACAATAAAATCGATTACTTTTTCAATGATGAATATTGTTGAAAACTCGTTTAAATCAGAACTTTAGAACCTTGATATAAATTTGAATAATATCTTGAATTGGAACTTTAACTTGAAAGAATTTAAATAACTGATTAAGAACTCGAATAAGAACTGAAAGTAAAACTGAGAACTTGAGAAAGAATTGAAATTGACTGGAACTAAGAACTGTAATTGACTGAATTATCATTAAAGTCTTTAGTTTTTATATTAGGGGCCATCCATAAATTACGTTGCGCTTGAAGGGGAGGGGGGGTCAAGGATTTGCAACATTCAATAGAAAAAATGGCGCTAATGTATGCAAAATGTGCAACATGGGGAGGGGGGGAGTCGAAAATGGTGAAAAATAGTGTAACGTAATTTATGGATGACCCCTTACTATCCCTTGTTAAATTTCAAGTAGGGTGCAAATTTAGAGGTAAATATTTTTTTAGAGTGGGAGGTTCGAATATATCTAAAAATTATTTGAATACAATTCAGTGATAAATTATTAACAACTTATTATGCATAAAACATTAATAATTTATTATTTCATCGTATGAGATTATACCTAATTGAAGAAAAAAAATATAATTTGATATTTTCATTTTCTGAAACTATACAACTTTATTACTAATAGAAAATTTTATTGCTTTGCAAATGTTTTCGGTTTTTATGAATTTTCTAAACTTCAAAGTGCAACCTGCAAGCGTTGACCATTTAAGGTTTAGTATTTCATTATTGGTTCTAAAAGGAAAAAATAAACAATTTATAATTAAGAAAAGAAACATGGTTTTAGTAAAACAGATACCTTATAACATATTAAAAAGAAATAAAATAAGATATTTTCAAAACTTGAAAAAATAATTCAATAATTCTAAATTTTATCCAGTTATTTCTATGGAGGTATTTTTAATTAAAATTTGTAGTTTTTATTAAAATATTTTTCTTTTATATTTGAAATTTTTCTTTTTAATTCGATAATACTGGGAATGATAAATATGTTTAGTTAAACTAAAAGCTAATTTATTTCCAAGTTTATTGGACAGAAAGAAAATAAAACACAAGTTTACTGAAAGAGAATAGAACCAAGTTGTTCCCCAGGACAGTTCAACTCGATGATCTATGATCTTTGGTGAAAACCTACTAGTTCAAACTGAACCGAACGACGACCCTAATAATTCAGAAGCAAATTCAATGGACGCTTGAAAACACGATTGGAACAAAGACTTTCATTGGTAGGAGGACAACGACGACAAAAAGGTCACGCAAAATGACCTCAACCACAAGTTTTGCGTCTCACAAAATTCTCTATTCCTATTTCCTTTTGTTTCTCCTTTTGTATTTCCATTTTCACTCTCTATCTCTCTTTATATATATATTCTCCATTACCCTATTTTCCTTTTTGGTTTTTGTCTTCCATTATTTCTCTCTATTTTCTATACAAACTCTCGTGCACTATTCGCATAAGCACTCTCTTTTAGACATACACGTACGTTCGTACGTATATCCAGAAGGCGTTTTGGGACTCGAGAAGAGAGAGAACTACAAAGCCAGAAGTTTGAAAACTCTAACAGAAACAGACAGGCACGTAGAATGATAATAATTAAAACGGCTTCCGTCTGTTTCAGTATAGCTTTTTGGAGCTAAAAACACGATACGGATATTTACTTTATACTTTGTACACCAAATGAGACATTAAATGAGGAAAAAAAATGAGAGAACGCGCTTGAAGAATTCTTCTAATATTATTAATGATAAAAATTTTCAGTAAAACTTTTCTTTTTCTTTGGTCAAAAAAAAATTAGTCACATAAATTTTTAAAGAAACGTTCAAAGTTTGTTTAGAAAGTAATAAGCGAGAATTGATAAAGAGAAAGAATAACAGAAGGAAACCCAATAAAAACTGATGAAACAAGATTAAAGACAAAACGAAACATTAGATACTGGTGCAATGATGGTGGCAAAATAAAACTAATTATATATTATAAATTACAAACAGGTTGAATATTTTTTCACTAAATTAGACAGGATTATTTCCTAGCTCTGTTTGTAATTTTTTTTTAA